AATAGTATTTACCTCCACAAGCAAGCAAGCGACCATATCTACACTCATGAGCAATGTAAGTCCTTGGTCGGTCAATAAACTCCATCAACGCGCCCTCAATCTGGGCAGTCACGTCCTTATACACGGCAGACAAGCGCATCCCGGCGACCATGGACTGCCCAGTCACGCCCTGGGACGGCCCGTCCCCAAACCGCCGCTTCCACCATGCACGATGCCAGCTTTGTTATCGCCCTCATCGAAAGTCGAGGCATTGCGCACGAAGTGGGTATGGCCGCTCTCGACAAAGATACAGGTAGAGTCATGCTCATTCAAGTAAAGGCTCGTCTCCTACTATTTCACGGCAACTAACACATACCGATTAGCTCTCGGACTGCTCTACGTATGTTAAGACTCTACATCAGATGCATGTGCACATGCCATGCATGATCCTAGTTCCCGATACGTTCCTATCCTCTGCAAACACGAGCCTCACTCCTTCTGCGTCTGCCACGCGGGGAGCTTCATCGTTGTCGGTACAGTTCATCAGGGAGGAGTTTCCTCAAGTCCCCATCGAACCGGTAGCAAGAAAATACTGGAATGATAGCGCTGGTCAGCCGACAACATTTTCTCCCGCATATATGCGCTTAGCTATCGTCTAGGCTATCAGTTTATCGCTCAATTCTGTGTTGAAGACGATGAGCGTGCGGCCACACTGGTCTCCGTGACAGACAAGTCAGAATATGCGCGTATTTCCGCGTTTACTCTTCTAATTGCTAGCGTGCAGGTACTATACACTCTCAGCCGCATGTGCTCTTTTCAAATTTGTAGAAACTCGCCTCAACACCCGCTTTTCTGCATGTTCTCTTCGTATACGTTATATCCCTGTCGAGGGAACAATGATGATAGACCCCGAAACCGTTAGAAATCTGGAGCTAATCAACAACCAGACCCGCAAGAAATCCACGCATTCTCTCTTTGGGTATCTGGCATCATTTCTTCGATCGGTCGTGATTTGACATGCTTCAGGGTGCTTAACCATACCTACACTGCAATGGCCACACGGCTCTTGCGAGCGAATATATTGGCACCTCTAACAGGTAAGTGCTTGCGCTATAGAAGCCCAGTAAGTTGATTCCACATACCCCGCCTGTAGCCCAAAGTGCCTTGGATGCCCGCCTAGACGCTGTGGAAGGTCCGATATTGGCAAATCTCTGCTGCAAGTACTAACCTCTACATTACAACAGAGCTGATTCACAGCGAGGATAAATTTACTGAGATCAAAGATGCCTTGAAAGTCTTGAACAAGATGGACTTCGACAAGCTCATCTCATCGGTGAGCCTTACATAATGGTTTGGACTTGAACATAACTCCAAGCCTATAGCTTGGGTTTTCTGAAGTACGGCCAACAACAACATCAAAAGGAGCTTTTTCTCGCGTGTCACAAATACTTAGCTTGCGCACTGCTATTCGAAGCCTTCCATTTTTGCAGAGGGCTTTGAATGGATGCAAGTCCCAGCTACTACTGATAATATATGACGTGAGCCCTGCACTGCGGTTTCGAATCTGCAGCTTCTCATACTGCAACATGAATATAGATACTGTCTGACGAACGGTTGACCAAGATCGAGGAGCACATCGCGGAAAACCTCAATGATGACGCAGGGGCAGTCAAGGTAATTGAAGTATGCTTTTGTCGATGCTGTCTAAACAACCTCATGCTAGGGAGGGATCGGCGCAATTAACGCAAGAGTATACGCAGTTAAGGTACAGTAGCAACTACTCGCTTTCTACCAGTTGGTTCATTGTCGCAGGCGAACCGCAACCGTCTCTTGGATGTTGCTCGCGAAACTTTCAAAGAAAATGTTGCAGACATATACCAGCTCAACCACGCCCTAAGCGAACGGCATTCCCTACCCTTTACTCTCGTTTACCAAGAAAGTGGCTTTGTGTTTGCTCTCAAAAAGGATGAACTTGAGGATGAGCTGCCAAAGGGATTCATTAATGTGTCTGCGCAACGGGGTCGTTGGCTGTTCTCAAGCATTGATCTGGTGAGATTCAACAGAAAGGGAAATATATAGTCTAACATCAGATGATAGAAAAAAATGAACGCTCGGATGAAAGACTCATTAGAGGAGACGCTGGTCTTAAGCGACAAGTACGTTTTCATTGTGACTCCATCGTCATTCGAGATTAATAAGATGCAAAGGATTATCCGGGATGTCGTAGGGCAGATTATAGCGTTTTCAGGAGTCCTCTATTCTGCTTCAGAAGCGGTAGTGACATTTCCATTTAAAGCTTAGGTTTCTCAACGCCAGTTCAGGTTGCAACCATCGACTTGCTGTGGTCTTTTGCTCATGTCTCCATCAGTCAGTCATTCCAAGCATTGCGTTTACCTCACTCTAACGAAACCTTCATTAGTGCGAAGCTATGGTACAGGGTGCAAGCTCCTCTCAAAGAATGCCAACAGACTTTTTTCTTAGTGCGTCCCGAGTTTACTGATACATTGGCGATCAAGAGTGGTCGTCATCCCGTCCTTGAGACCGTTCAATCTGCTGGAATGGTTATTTCAAACGATATATATTGCAGCGACGCTGCCCACTTTCACATTGTTCATGGGCCAAAGTGAGTTTCATAAATGATTCATTATTTGGATGTACAGACGTCCATACTCTTCAACAGCATGTCAGGTACGATGTGCGTCTGCACCCGTTCCACTGACCATTCTCAGCGTTCCCACAAGGCAAAAGCACATATCTGCGTCAAACAGGCCTTCTTACTGTGATGGCAATGGTCGGTTGTTTTGTACCTGCTGAGTATGCAAGCTTTCGGTGAGTCATAGGTGTTGAATTTAATCGAATCTTGATGCACTCATTCTCTCTAGCCTGCACGACGCCTTACTTACTCGGCTCTCCAATGATGACGATATAGAGAAGAGCCTCAGCACGTTTGCAAATGAAATGACATCTTCTGCTATGATCCTAGGTCTTGGTGTGTAGATGAGTCTGTCATTCATACTGAACTCCTCCTAGGCATTGCGACCCCAAGAACACTGGTACTCGTTGACGAATTGGGTCGAGGAACATCTCCTATCGAGGGTCTTGGTATAGCACATGCTATTGCAGAGGAACTCATCAGAATCAAAGTAAGCACATCGCTTGTGTTTTGTTTTTACTCTTACGAGAACCTCAGTGTTTTGTTCTCTTCGCTACGTGAGCACGCGACTACTAGGTTGACTTGCGCGTTAACACGATAGCCAGCCATTTTCACGAGCTATCAACCACTCTTTCTCGACAGCCTGCTGTGGTGAAGTGAGTGGTGTTCCTGTTTTGACCAGTGACGCATGACGAACTTGTACAGTTTGCATCTATCTGTTCAGGTGCTTTCAAATTCCTCTCGATTATACCTTCTTTACAGATTGTCATCCAGCGTTCACGTCCATCGGCCTCTCACATCGGCCTGATATTTCAATACAAGTCAACTCCATATCATTATAATGCACGGTGCCCAGCTGATGACACCATTATAGGATCCTTGATGGAGTTCCAGAAAACACAGGTCATTATGGTGAGTCGCAGACAACAGCCAGATAGAGAAGACATCTGGACCAGCCCCGATCAGGACTAGAACTAGCCAAATTGGCTGACCTCCCCGACGACGTGCTCACTGAAGCGAAACGAGTGTCTGAAATCATTACTGAAAAAAACATACGGTGCGAGGAGGAAAGTCACATAAACGTCTTGACCATTCGCAGGCGTGCGCTTTTGAAGGTATCATCAATTAGCTTCCTGAACACTGCTAGTCCTGAATGTTTCATATTTTCTCAGCTTCATACGCAGTTGAACCAGGCGTTAGATCACTCTTCGCTTCCGGAGGAAGAACTGGTCGCATATCTGGCACGACTGCAGAGGGATTTCATGAAGACTCTAAAAGACACTCTTTGACGATCGCTGATCAAAAGAACAAGGAAGATTCTTGACTTAACGATACAAAGGAAACATCAACAAGCCCTTACCTGTTGAAGCTTGAAGAGACAAAACGAAGAGAACACCCCCAGACACTATCCAAAGGTCCATTTTCCTGCAGATGCTCTCGCTGTGTTAGACCACAGTCATGTTCTTACGAGCTTCTAAAATTGATAGATTTGAAGTTAACACTAGTATTGATCAAATGATCATGAAGTGCCGCAAATTTGAATTTGTCGACTTTCATGGTGAATACCAACTTTCAAAATTTCACATCTCGTCAATGTAAATCAGTAGTATCATTATGAAACATTGTCACATTGAGGACGCAAATTCACCCACCAGCAGGCGAGTAAGAGAAGGAGACGAAGTTCTGATCGACAGATGTAACCATGACATGAGTCTTTTCTCTAAATCTAAGATGGCACGCATGGTAGGTGTCCGGAATTCGCATACATGCAAATACTAAACGAAGACATGTTGGAGAGGTCTGACACCCACTACACCATACAGATAAGATGCGTGCGTTCATAATCCTATCCGAAGTACTCTTCGCATTACCGAATCGCCTCGTTCCTCCTGAATAATGGCAGAACGGGCACTGTCTAAAAAGCTGCGGTGAAGGTTACCAAGAAATTGTTTGAGGAATTTATACCATCTCTTGTTTGTGTTTGTGTACTCCAGGTACCTGTACCTGGGGAATTTTGACAGTATTCGCCATCAGTGTTAATTATGCCGGTCAAAATTCAGCCCAAAGTCCGATTAGTACTAGTGTACCTAGAATAGACAGCCGAGCAATATACTATCGGGTTGGGCAAGCGAGAAATGCGTGTCGTCACAACTAAAACCGGTACCGTGCTCATGAGTTTACCAGGACACTGTTTTTCATGGAGCACGCTGTAAAAAGGGCTCCTGTAAAATACGTACGACAAAGATGCTAAACTCTGGGTTCGGGGGACATCACAGCCATAATTTCCTTTTATGATTTTCGTTGCTACGACCTTTACTGACTAGGAAGTGTGGGAGTAATAGGTTGAACGAGACAATGCAGCACCCAGCTGAGATTGAGCTGAGAGCTCCCTCACTTCTGCTATACCTTGAAACATGGCGTATCTGGCTTTAGGACTCACGTTTCCCCTGGATATTCTCAAGATAGGTTTGCAAATTTGCGATGGCAGTTGTGCCGCACACGATGTGACAAAACTGCCTCTAGGCTCTAGTTGAGGTGCTTGTGCGCATGGGTGATAAGATAAGGGCCCTGATTTCCTCACGTTTCGTAACGTGTCCGAACAAGTCGTGTACATGGGCTGTGGCACTTTCTCATTTAGTTAGCCCCGCGTTATCGTGAGCATGTGCGCCTTTCTTCGCTCTTCCGTAGTTTCTCGCTTTCAATTCCCTCTATTACCTAGTGGCACATCAGTATTTCATGGGTAACTGTGTCTCCCGTTCTAAACAGCCTTTCCCAGTCTTCTCTAGCAGTTCGTCTGCTGAGAAGAATACGGGGAATTACGTTTCAGATGGTCTACCTGTAGCGGAGCCAACAACTTCTTTTTGGACGATTCCTGCAACCCCAATAGGAAAACCTCAGTCACAGAAGAATTTGCCATCCCATGCAGACGTGGGTGAGTACCCTATGTACCTATCTAGAGGTCGTCAGGTGAATAATTGACGATAGTTATCATTGGATCTGGTATATCTGGCGCCTCTTTTGCGCGAACTCTGCTTGAGTGCGGAGACTGTCTTCATGTCGTCATGCTTGAAGCCCAAGATGTGTGCTCAGGGGCCACCGGCAGGTGAGCAATGAGCGCCCATTTCGCTTAGAACATTGATGCGATATTTATGTCTTGCTTAGAAATGGTGGCCACATCTTTCCCGCTACATACCATGACTACGAAGACCTGAAGACAAGAGTGGGCGAGAATATGGCAAAGAAGATGGTGCGTTTCCGGAAAGCGCACTTGGACGAGATTTTGGCCATTACCGCAGAGGAGAGTATCACAGAGTATACACAATGTCGTGCCGTCGAGGGTGTCGATGTGTACTTCGATAAGCCTACGTTTAAAGAGGCGCAGCGGAAGCTGCAAGTGTATCAGCGTGATATGGGCGAATATGCAGGTTCGTATACCTGCTATGAGGGTTTAGACGCTCAAGAGGTGCGTTGGGGGATAGCATTGTGACCTCTGACTGATAGCATGGTAGAGATTTCACCTTTCGCCACTTGCGGTGGGATGTATTGCCACACGAGCTGGTGCTATACATCCATATCGCCTTGTGACATCGATTTTAAGCCGCCTTCTTACAGACTACCCCAAAGAGTAAGTCTTTAACATCATTGTGGCCCGCAATCATTCATGACGGTCTCAAATTCGACTTAGATTTGAGATTCACACCCACACACCTTGTACATCGATTGATGAGCCCACATCAAGTTGCCCATTCTATAGACTCACTACAGCGCGCGGGGTGATTACGACCCCACACATCGTGCATCTCACGAATGCGTACGCACCTGCGCTCCTACCCGCTCTCAAGGGTGTTATCCTTCCCATTCGAGAAACCATGACCGCACAGCGGCCTGGTCGTAACCTCCATGCAAGCACGCTGCATGGCGGGCGGAGCTTCGTGTTCTTTGACAGCCCACGTAAGGGCTTCGACTACTTGACGCAACTCCCAGAAGGCGAGCACGAACTCATGTTCGGTGCAGGTTTCGAGTCAAGCATGGATAGCGCAGCTAATGCAATGTATGGCGTGCATAGCGCAGCGCATGTAGGTGGTGCAATGCCAATCTATTTCGGAGCGGAGAGCTGGGGTGCTGAGGCCTTACCAACCACTCCCACAGATGAACAGGATGTGGGTGTAGGTTTGTGGGCAGAGGGAAGAGTAAAGGCAATCTGGAGCGGTCTCTTGAGCCAGTCGGCCGATGGGATGCCGTGGGTTGGAAATGTGCCCGTTAATGTGGCTGGCAGGAAGGCACCTACTGCTTCGTCTGCACCCTCTGCTCTAAATTCAAGCACGAGGAAGCTGAAGTCAGTTCTCACTGCTGCTCCTGGTGAGTGGATTGCGGCTGGCTACTCCGGTGAGGGCATGGTGCATGCGTGGCTAAGTTCCAAGGCCGTTGCGCTGATGCTTCTAGGGGAGGATCTCACTGAGGTCAAGACTTGGCTCCCTGAGTTGTTCAGTGTCACGGAAGACAGAGTCAAGATGGCCAAGCGGACTTTCAAGCCTGATGTTGTACTAAGTGGCAAGAAGCGTGTTTTCAGTCCTTAATACCTACATATGTTAAGAGTCTCCTCTATAGTGGGTACTATAATCATGTGCATGTTGCGTAGTTTTCTTGGCTGTATCTTAAGTATCACAGTACTGTGTAGTTTACTTGAATGCAAACTCATTTTTATTGTACATTGTTCCCTCTGGGCGTACTGGGGCACAGGTACCCAAAAGTTTGGTTCTGAGACCAATAGATCTTGATGTACATATTTTCCGATACTTATTCCATTTACTTATTACATGATATACTCAATGGTGCTTTCGTCAGAAATTACGTTCGGTTGGGATCCCGACGTACGCACGCCGTGCGAGTGGAACCTCTGATCAGAGGACAAAGATTAAGTTATTCGAAGTTTTGGTATGCAGATGATCACCACAACATGATTATTACATGCAAACATATTCAAGGATCACCCATCTACTACGTGCATTCACATTAATCTATCAGTCCGTTAGTGCGTGATCCTACTGTAACCCACTCGTACACCGCAACAATAAAAATCACTACAGATCAATCAACAGCTCCTCTCGTCGCTCCGGAATAGTCGTAGGCGCAGACGGCGCGTACAAGTCAAACGACTGTGGCACTGCCGTTGGTGCGGAGGGGAACTGCGGGAGCTGTGGTTGTAAGGGCTGCTGGTACTGAAGGCGGGACGCCCGCGATACGGTACTGGAGCGAGCGAGGGGGGCAGGCGGCGGGGACATTGTGGTGCGTGCTGAGACGCTGTGGTGCCGTGTGAGGGCCGGCGTTTGTGGAGCGAGAGGTGGAGTCATGGGTTGAAGTGCGGGCGCTGGTGGTGGTTGAGACGGTGCAGCAGTGTTGGCGAATTGGGGTATTGACACGGGTGGGTTGACCGGAATGGTGGGAGAAGTGGGGGATTGCTGGGGGAGGTAGGATATAGATAACGGCGGACTAGTGAATTGAGGCAGCTGCTGTTGAGGAGGTGGAGGTGGCGAGGCGAGTGGGGCCGTGAGGTGCTGCGATGACCCGGGAACTTCTGAAGTATATGGTTGTGATGGTCCTGCCGCATAATGAGCATACTGAGGCTCTGACTCGGGGACAGTAGATAATGGGGGTCGGGAAATAAGAAGCTGTGGGGCGTATTGGGCAGAGTCGGTCCGTGGTGGCGCAAAAACTGGGGAAGATACGGAGGATGCATGAAGGTGGGTTGGCGCCCATTGACTATGAGTTTGTGCGGATTGCCGCACTGGTACAGTCGTAGGGTGCACCTGTTGGGGAGAACGCCGCCACGTGGGATGTGAGACCTGATCCGTTAGTAGCTTATCGTAGAGTTTGACGGCTTGCGAAAGCTTTTCGTGCATCTCTGATAGCAGTTCTGCGTGCAAGTATCAGTAGAGTTAAATATTTCCAAGTAAACTAACCCACGTTCTTTGCGGTCGGTATCATCCAGGCTCATTGCTAGCTTGGGCCGGAGTCCGTTTGCCTTGTCGTATAGTTCGTTGACAGCAGGATACCGCGACATGTCGCGTCCCCCTTGGGCTTGCAGTTGCTCCACTGTCTGGCTGAATGTAAGAATGGCGTCGGTTTCCAAGGGCTCGAGATCATAACCCGCAAGCTTCGGCACTTGTGGGGCAGGCGTGACGGTGGGCGGATACGATTGAGACGTGACGTGCACGTTGCTGTATGGATCTGTGCTTGTCAGCTCCACAGGCGCACTTGGTTTTGGGGCGTTAGCCTCGCGAAGACTTGCTTCGATGGCTGCACGGAGATCAGGATCGTCCTCATCCGCACCAGTAACTTTACGATCAGGGTGCGTCATTCTGTCCACGAGAGGAGGTTCGGAAATGTGCCAATTGTGCGCGGAGGGTTGGGCGGGGACATAACCCGGTCTGCGTCCATGAACAGCACCGACTTCCTCGAGGGAGAGCTCAATGGCGCGTTGAAGCTCGGCGTCTGCGAGGTCGCGCGCACTGCTGTGACGCGGGCTATACATACTTGCAGAATGGCGGTGTCCTTTGTCACTGTCAGGAGACAGCATATCAGAAGGGCTTATGCATATGAGAACATATGTACCTTTTCTCAGCCTTTTTCTGCAGCTTATTGTAACACGCATCACAGACCCTAACAGCTTGAGTGATGCCGAAGTGAGGTAAAGGTATTGATTTAGATGAACATTGCTGGTCGAAAACTTGTCCACAATTCCGGCAGTGATGCTTCCGATTGGTAAATGTAAACGGAGTGCGACATCGCAGACACAACTCCGAATCTATCCATTCTGGAGCGGTTGACGTATCGACCATAGCAGAATTCGCCAGAGCAAAGTCCTTTGGAGGGAAATGATGTCCTGTACAGCAAGTGTGAAACATAGTGATGACAGATCGACTGAGTGAATACCTTCACTCTTGAGGGTCTTATAGACTTGATTGACATAACTAAGACTGGGCTTGCCTTCAAAAGCCAAGGACCAGTTCTGTATATACTTCAAGATATCATCTCTGACAGAATGATTTAGACCAGGCATTTTGAGGATGGAGACCAGATTATCCATGAACTCCCTTGAGGCCACCTCGGTCAAGAAATGATCACCGCCATTCTTAACACAGATGTCTGTCAACTGTCGGACCGGCATCAAAGGATATCGCTGAGACTGGAATGATATAGCTTACACCGAGTGCGAGGAGCTGGACATTGGGATTCTTATGATTAAGACGGCGCTTGAGCGCACGCATGGCGTCCTTTGCGGGCGCTGACTTGGAGCGTATCTGGTCACATATCTCGAGATTGAGAGCAACATCCTCTGAGCCATTCGGGATGAGCTCCGAGGTAGCCTTGTCTAAAAGATAATAATGAGTGAAAGTAGACTGATATTGGGGAGCATGCTCACCGACAGCGTCGTCAAGCTGTGAAGTTCCCCATAACCAGCTGCTGATCGATGCCATGTAGAATGAGCACCGTGTAAGTGACTATGATTATTAAGTGGTGTAGCGAACCCGCGTCAACTGCGCACAGCAAGCCTTGAGTGACACGATGACAAATCAACCGTGCTTTTCACACTCCGATCAGCAAATATTCGGATCATATTATTTCTCAGTGACGCTGTGAAGGGTAATATGCTGCAGAAAAATTACAGAAGGGTTACTAGAGAGGATCAATAAAGTTCTGCACAATTTTTCATGACTTCTACAGAATATTTTGGGTAGCACACTGGTGTAGTTTATATGGTGCGTGACCAAAAGAGTGACTGTGTGACTCGGGGCCGGACGCAGGTGAATTGGAGCGGAGTTGGAACGTGAGACCCATCCACAGGTTGTTCTCAACAGCCATCTTGCCGTCTTCGAAGGACCTGTTGTCGACTCTTTTCTGCTATCTTGCAGATTCAGACGAATTCATTAACGCTTCCGCCAGTTGCGCGGTTTGCTGAGTTCCGCTTGACCCGTTTTTGTGAACAATTTCCATCTTTTTTTTTGTTCCTTTTCACCAGGCACTCGTGGTTCCTTTGAACCCGCAAAAAGTGGTCAAAACTCCACCACTACCCCCACAATCGCATTGACGACATCGCATTCGCGTTAATTCACGTCTTGGACTTCTTTCGGCACCATTTTCCGACCTCGTCATTGCACTGCTGATTTTTACGCGTTTTTATTCTCCTTATTCCTTTTGTTGCAACCATGTTGGGCCATCAGTTCGCGTATTCGGCCGCTCCCATTCGCAAAGTGAAGGAGGTCCAGTTTGGTATCTTATCACCAGAGGAAATTGTGCGTCACAACCCATTCTCTACCTTACTGTGCTAATTAATGCATATTCATCATGCAGAAAGCATACTCGGTGGCGAAAGTGGAGCATCCAGAGGTTATGGACGAGACAACGCACAAACCTAAGATGGGTGGTCTAATGGATCCTCGCATGGGAACCATCGACCGCAATTTCAAGTGCCAGACATGTGGAGAGGGAATGTCAGAATGTCCTGGTCATTTTGGCCATATCGAGTTGGCGAGGCCGGTCTTTCACCCAGGTGTGTTGACGAAGCTTTCTTTGTCTTAGCGTGCGGCATTCATCGGTTTTCAGGTTTCATCATTAAAGTAAAGAAGATCCTGGAATGTATCTGCGTAAACTGTGGAAAGCTAAAAGCCGACATCGTGAGTTGAATTTCGTTCCTCTACTCGTTTCGCACCCCACCACCCAATTTTCTGGGGGCTCTCTCCATAATCCATTGGAGAACCCCAAACCCGCACCGCGGCAGTACCTCGAACAAACGAGGCGTTTGACCCACTGCGGCGTGGTCTGCGCGCGTTTTCGATCGCTTGATCGCCGCGTGGACCATTGCAAACGCCCAGTGATGGTTGGACACGAGGTGCGCGGTGAAATGGGGCGCTGAACGAGGAGTGCGAAAATCGTAGTCCAGCCAGTGCTTAAGGCACCTTACTGGACTCGGCTTTGGTAGCCCTCCCTGTGACGCGGGAAGAGGGTTCACCAATGGCCGACATATATGCCCAATCATGTCGGCTGCCTCCTTGTGATGCATTGCAATCCCTTAGATAATGTTTCTATTTCCGTCGAAGTTGATGCTGACGTTTACATTTCATGTGCTTCCTAATCTGTTCGTTCAATGCCATTGTCGTGCTTTAGTCCGATCCCAATTTCGCCGACAAGATCCGCCATATTCGCGATCCCAAGGCACGCATGGCCGTTGTATGGGCGCACTGCAAGACCAAGATGACCTGTGAGACTGACGAGCCAAAGGAAGATGGTGCTGAGGGAGATGCGGATGAGCCCAAGAAAGGTCATGGTGGATGTGGTCATATACAACCGGCCATTAGGAAAGAAGGCTTGAAGCTTTTCGTCCAATACAAAAGACCCAAAGATGAGGATGAGGTCGGTATATGGCAGCATCACTGAATGCTGTTACTGACTGGTTTTCAGGATGTGAAATCGATGCAGCCTGACAAGCGGCTGATCACTCCATCTGAGGTTTACACGACGTTCAAGAAGATGTCGGACTCCGACCTTCATCTCATAGGTCTTTCGGATGAGTACGCTCGTCCTGAGTGGATGATTCTCACGGTTATGCCTGTCCCGCCTCCTCCTGTCCGTCCAAGTATAGCAGTTGACGGCGGGGCTATGCGGAGCGAAGATGACTTGACCTACAAGCTTGGTGAGATCATCAAGGCGTCCGCACATGTACGGCGGTGTGAGCAGGAAGGCGCGCCCGCGCACGTCATTAGCGAGCATGAACATCTACTCCAGGCAAGTTTTGCGGAGACAAATCTAAGTGCGGGTATTGACTATCTAATTGTAGTTCCACGTTGCCACCTATATGGACAACGATATTGCCGGTATTCCTCAAGCGTTGCAGAAATCTGGACGTCCAGTGAAGGCTATCCGTGCACGGCTAAAGGGCAAAGAGGGGCGTTTGCGTGGTAACCTGATGGGCAAGCGTGTAGACTTCTCTGCACGTACGGTCATTACAGGCGATCCTAACCTGGAGCTGGACGAAGTAGGTGTTCCTCGGAGCATCGCCATGAATTTGACCTATCCCGAGCGAGGTGCGTTCGTCATAGCTTAGGGTGTTTCGACTTACAATGTCATTATAGTGACGCCATATAATATCGCATACCTTCAAGAACTGGTGCGCAACGGCCCGACAACATACCCCGGTGCACGCTATGTCGTGAGAGATACTGGCGAACGTATTGATCTGCGCTATAACAAGCGTGCAGACGCATTCCTGCAATATGGGTGGATCGTCGAGCGGCATCTAAAAGATGGAGAGTGAGTTCAAGGAGCAAAGGATGCGCGCTGATTTTTATGCTGATACACGTTTCAGCTTCGTGTTGTTCAACCGGCAACCAAGTTTGCACAAGATGAGTATGATGAGCCATCGAGTGAGGCTGATGCCATACTCTAGTGAGTACAGCATTCTTTGATGCTTTTGCAAGAAATTAATGGATACAGCCTTCCGACTGAATCTATCCGTGACGCCTCCATATAACGCCGATTTCGACGGCGATGAAATGAACATGCAGTGAGTCACCTTTGTCTCCTATACGATACAATGTTCACGTTTCCCAGCATTCCACAGAGCGAAGAAACACGTGCCGAACTGTCACAAATAGCGTGGGTTCCCCGTCAGGTAATGACATCTTCCCTCGTTCATGGCTGTTATATCTAACTGGTACATAGATCATCTCGCCACAAGCCAATAAACCCGTCATGGGCATTGTGCAAGACACGCTTTGTGGGATCCGCAAGTTTACGTTGCGAGATACGTTCCTGGACTGGAACCAGGTTCAGAACATCTTGTTGTGGGTCCCTGGCTGGGATGGCAATGTACCAATACCCGCTATCATCAAGCCTAAACCCATGTGGTCCGGGAAGCAGATTCTTAGCATGGTGATCCCTCGCGGTATCAATATTCATCGGGCCCCAGATCCCAAGTCTTCGAACCCCATCTTCGACGACGGTATGTTAATTGAGAATGGTGAAATCATTTTTGGTGTTGTCGAGAAGAAGACTGTGGGCGCTTCTCAAGGAGGTTTGGTGCACGTCGTCTTCCGCGAAAAGGGCCCGGAGGCTACTCGTGACCTCTTCACGGGCATCCAGATGGTCGTGAATTTCTGGCTATTCCACAATGGATTCAGTATCGGCATCGGTGACACTGTTGCTGGTCCCAAGGTCATGGGTTTCATAACGCAGCGTATTAGCGAGAAGAAGCAGTTGGTTGCAGAAATCATCGATGACGCATATCACGACCGGCTGAAGGCGCTACCCGGTATGACTATCCGGGAGTCGTTCGAGAGCAAGGTAGAGCGCGAACTCAATCGCGCTCGTGATGACTCCGGTCAGTACGCGCAGAAGAACCTGAAGGACGACAACAACGTGAAGCAGATGGTCACAGCTGGTTCCAAGGGTTCATACATTAACATCTCGCAAATGTCTGTTTGTGTCGGGCAGCAGAGTGTTGAAGGTCGTCGTATCCCATTCGGGTTCCGTCATCGTACTCTTCCTCATTTCACCAAGGACGACTTCAGCCCGGAGGCACGTGGCTTCGTCGAGAATTCTTATCTGCGAGGGTTGACGCCGCAGGAGTTTTTCTTCCATGCCATGGCTGGAAGAGAAGGTCTTATTGATACGGCTGTCAAGACGGCAGAGACCGGCTACATCCAGCGTCGTCTCGTCAAGGCATTGGAGGACGTCATGGTTCACTATGATGGCACAGTTCGCAACTCGCTTGGAGATCTCATTCAGTTCGTATATGGCGAAGACGGTATGGATGGCGCATTCATCGAACGCCAAAAGATCGAGACTTTTGGTCTTGACAATGAAGCCTTTGAGCACAACTATCGCGTTGATGTCACGGACGGCAAGAGTGGATTCCTGCCAAATACCCTGCAGATCGGTGTGGATGACAGCTCTCTGGAGCTACAGATGAAGTTGGATGAAGAATACAACGAGCTTCTAAACGACCGCCGTCTTCTACGAGAATTCATATTTCCTCAGGCTGACGGCCTGAATCCTCATTATCTGCCTGTCAACCTTCATCGCATTATTCAGAACGCCACGCAAATCTTCCACATTGACAAGCGGAAGCCGAGTGATCTGGAGCCGGCCTACATCGTTGAGGCTGTTCAGCAGCTGAACAATCGCTTGGCTGTCGTGGTTGGTGACGATCCGCTGACAAGAGAAGTCCAAGCCAACTCATCGCTCACATTCCGCATGCACGTCCGTGCCACCATGGCTACTCGCCGCGTACTCGAACAGTTCCATCTTACCAGGGAGGCATTTGACTGGGTCATTGGTGAAGTGGAAGCCAAGTTCAACCAGTCGTTAGTGAACCCAGGAGAGATGTGCGGCACACTTGCTGCTCAGTCGATCGGTGAACCAGCTACGCAGATGACGCTCAATACGTTCCATTATGCCGGTGTCTCCAGTAAGAATGTGACACTCGGTGTCCCGCGTCTGAAGGAGATTATCAACGTTGCTACCAAAATCAAAACACCTTCCCTCACTGTCTACCTCGAACCTGACGTTGCTGAAGAGAGTCTGCTTGCCAAGAACGTGGAGCAAGAGCTCGCATATACCTCATTGCGTACCGTGACGGCAGCCGTGGAGATCTGGTATGACCCAGACCCAAGCTCCACCATCATCGAGGAGGACTCCGTCTTCGTGGAGTCATTCTTTGCCATTCCCGACGAGGAGATTGAGTCCAAGCTGCATCTGCAGTCGCCATGGCTCCTTCGTCTCGAGCTCGATCGTGCTAAAATGATTGATCGCAAGCTCACCATGGCTTATGTTGCCGGTCGGATCGCGGAGAGTTTCAAAACTGATCTCTTCGTCATTTGGAGCGAAGATAACTCGGAGAAGCTCATTATCCGTTGCCGTGTGCTCGGCGGTGGTGACAAAGATGACGACGGTCTAGGAACTGTAGAAGAAGACATCTTCTTGCGCCAGCTTGAAAACACTATGTTGAATTCTGTGAGCTTGCGCGGGGTTCCTGGCATCCAAAAAGTCTTTTTGCAGCAGCACGACAAAGTATATACCGACAAGACAGGCGCCATCAAGACAAAGAAGGAGTGGGTGCTGGAGACGGACGGTATCAATCTCAAGACTGTCATGTGCATCGATAGCGTCGACTTTACACGTACGTATTCGAACAGCTGCGTTGAAGTTTTCAACGTGCTGGGCATTGAAGCAGCCCGCGCTGCTATTATGAAGGAGTTGCGCGGGGTCATCGAATTTGACGGCTCCTACGTCAACTACCGCCATCTTGCTCTCCTTTGCGATCTCATGACGCACCGAGGTTCTTTGATGGCAATCACCCGTCACGGGATCAATCGTGCTGACACCGGAGCACTCATGCGATGTTCATTCGAGGAGACGGTGGAGATTCTCATGGAAGCAGCTGCGGTCGGCGAGAAGGACGACTGTCATGGCATCGCCGAGAATGTCATGTTCGGCCAGCTAGCGCCAATGGGTACTGGTGCCTTTGATGTGGCTCTCGACATTGACATGTTGAAGGACGCTATTGTTGATCATCGTCTGCCAGTCCAAAATATGCTAGCAGCACAGGCAGATGGTGGTATGACACCAGGACAAGTGGCAATGACGCCATATGATACAAATTCCCCTGCATGGTCAGAAGGCAATTTCAAAGGAGAATCAGCCGCATTTTCTCCTCTCGCTGTCAACGGCGGCGAGGATCCCGCAAACTTCTCTTTCCTTGGATATGGGCAAAGTCCTCTTGGCGCCGGAGGCATGTCACCTGCAGGGCCTGGGTACAGCCCCAGTTCTCCCAATACATACTCGCCGACATCACCGTATGTCCCACAATCACCGTTTGGCGGCGCTACATCACCTTTTGGCACATCTCCGTATGCTACTTCTCCCTTCTACGACCGCGGCAGAGGACCAACATCACCGACGTATTCGCCGACATCTCCCGCACTCAATCTCACGTCTCCAGGATATTCACCGACGAGCCCACGCTATTCTCCTACTTCTCCGTCATTCTCTCCCACATCGCCGCGCTACAGTCCACAATCTCCATCATTCTCCCCCACGTCACCGCGTTACTCTCCCACCAGTCCCTCCTTCAGCCCTGCTTCTCCGCGTTGTAAGTTGATTTTTCTTGTATCTCAACTTTTGACTGATGTCTTATTTTCTCAGACTCACCAAGTAAGTACGGATGTTATTCATGTATGAAATGTACTCATGATCAATTGCACCCGCTCTATTCACACTCACAGCTTGTAAGTGTTCATTTTTTCATTGACTGACTACATACTAAATCCTACTCCAGCACCTGCCCAAATGTCCCCTTCCTCACCAAAGTATTCTCCCACTTCACCAGTATCCCCCTCGTCTCCAAAATACTGTAAGTCGCCCAATTCATGTGGAAGACAGCTAACTCACACTTTCTAGCTCCCACATCCCCTACATACTCGCCAGCTTGTGAGTACTCTCACCCTAACGTATTTCTGCACCCTCTAATCCCAAATTCTATCACGCAGCACCTGCATATTGTAAGATTCTTCATCCGGCTGCTAACCTAACCGTCGCTAACCTCTCTTTAGCCCCTGCTTCTCCCGCCTATAGCCCGACGTCACCCCAATGGTCGCCTTCAAGTCCAGCACAGAACGGCCGCAGTCACTCGTACAGCACGTCACCGTCCTGGGAGTAAGACCATTGTTCCATGTCTGGTGTCCGTCCCATGCGTTGGCGTTATTATCTAGCACGTTTCTTTTCTGTCAAGCACTCCATGTAGATTAAGCACATTTTACTATACAAAGCTAGATATGCCTATTATTGCGTCCCTCTCAAGCGAAACATATTCATTGAAAATCGAATGAGCCTGCAATGCGGTATGTATCTATGTATGTATGTTAAACATGAAAGTCAGCATATGTACTTAAACCTTCTTTACTTATCTTGCAATTGGGGCGATGGCATGGCGACATGTATATATATGAAAAAAAAGAAATGAAAGAAAGTCACATCGCTCTCAAATCAACTCCCGACTCAACGCAAAAAAGCGTCCAAAAAAGAGAAATATCAAATGTACGTACGTAGCAGAGCTAGAGCTATTTGCAAAAGAGTGGGTTTGGTTGTGGTGTGATGGTTGGCAACGCCCGCGCGCGCGTATAGTATTACACGTGAGGGTATATGAGAGAGAGACAAGTGAATTGAAGTGAAATGGGGACGTGGAGAAATGGGTTGTAACACGTGGGGGTGATGAGGGATGTCACGGTGTGATCCGACAGCTTTAATGAGGTACTGTACTGTGCAGCCCAGCCGCTTGTAAAAATGCGAATGCTCTTCATGCCGAGTTTTTAGATCAGGGGGATAGAAGTGGTTGTGCAAGGAAAAAAAACGTAGGCGAGGCATCGGACAGGAAGAAAAAGAGAAGATAAAAGATAAAAGCGAGCCAAAAATCGAACCGAGCAAGCACCGGTACCAGCAACAAACCGCTCAGATAAAAAATTGGGTACTGCAGTGATTGATCAGTACACAACCACTCAAAAAGATGAAGAACGTACTGCATCCGACTACAAGCATGCACTTCCATCTCCTCCATCTTGTACGAATTGAGCTCCTCTTTAATGCGCTGCGCCAACGCAGGCGTCAATCGACTCCACGTCGCAGGCTCGCTGCGACGATCATAAACAGCCGACGAAAACGTATCATAAACTGACAGATTATTTGCAAACACGAGCCTTTTGGCAGGCGTCGTCGCTGAGCGGTGGGTCAGCGTTGGTGGGGTCGTAGGGATCGTTGATAGGGCTGGGGCGGATGAGTTGGAGAGGGTAAATATGCTCCTTTCTTTCTCTACTGGATTGTTAGATAGGTATGATTTATTGGGGAGAGGCGTACCTCCTGCGGGTGCGTTGCTTGAATGCGAGGCGTGTCGGTGCAGGCCATCGATATGGTCTGGATCGGGAGAGGGTATGCGAGCGAGTGGACCCAGCTCGGATGATTGCGCCGGATGCGAATTATATGAATTCGAGCGTATGCGAATAGCAGGGTTCACCACGGTCTCACCATTATACACCTCTTGCGAGTAATTATCAGCACCTAGAACAAGATCAGGGTAAATAATGCCCGATCTGCCCGATACGCACCTTTAAGGATGCCCTTTGCAGGCGTTCTTTGACGCTCGACGCTACGCCTGATATTGGTCGCCCAAGCGACGACCTCCTCGTCTTCGCCCGCTACACGAATAGTAAGGTCCTCCTCCCCATCCTCATCCCAGACTTCATCGTCATCCCAGCCTTCCGATATAAAATTCTGTGCAGCAGGATAGGCATGTCCATCATCACTCTCATCCTCCTCCTCGACCAAGACCCTCGTCCCATCCTCATTGACCCTGGCACTCGATTCGCCGGTCCTTGTAGCAGTATTCTTCTCCCACGCAGCAGGAACATGGATCCCATTCGGCTGAGGCTGGACGGGCTCGACGCGTACCTTTGCTGCAGCAGCAGCCTCGGCATTACTCTTGAGTGTATGCTGGCGGGCAAGTTTAGCAGCAGGACTCAATCCACTCATCTCTGGACTGCTCCAATCGCCACGATCGAGCTCAGCAACAGCGTGGGAAAGAGCAGGAGCTACGAGATCGCCTTTTGCGTCCTTTTCTTTTTTCTTTTTCTTCTTGCCGTTATCATCAGTGCCTTCAGAAGACTTGTTCTTGTCTTTGAACAGGGAAGTTATTCCTGCCAGGCTGTTCCGCCTCGCGAGCTTTCCAATTGAGCCGATCTTACGGATGACGACGGAAGCAGAGGACATCGTAGATGAAAGAGAGATGTTGTCTGTGCTCGCGTTGAGGCGGGAGTTGAACAAGGATGCTGCACGACCTTTTTTCTTGGTCTGAACTGTGGCGGTGCTGGCGGCGTCAGGGTCAGGGAGGGTTGTTGGAGTGGTTTTTGTTGTGCTTGCACCGGCAGAGGGTTGTTCTTCCTCTTCTTGCAAGGCTTGAGCGGCATTGAGACTGAGTGCACGACGGAGTCTGCCTTTGATGCCACCTGTTTTTGCACCGATGGAAGTACCTTCGAGGATAGCTGCGAGATCGGAGTCATCACGTGACATGCGCTTTTCCGCAGCAGTGTATGTGCCTTGACTTAGCGGGGAGGGCCGGACTGGACGAGCATGGGAAGAAGAAGCGGATTGGGGAGTTGTAGCTGTTGACGTGGAAGACCTAGATGGAGGATTAGATAGGGAAGGGCGTGGAGTTGATGATGAGTTTGTAGAGGAGGTAGATGGGGTGCGGTTGTGTGGACGGTTGTTAGTGGATGATGAATTGCTTCCTGTACGTTGACGTGGATTTTCTGTTGCTGTTGTTGTTGTTGGGATCCTTGGACGAGATGGAACTTGACCCTGGCTTGTTGTCCGTTGGCGTGGTGCTCCGCCGTGAGAGGAAGAAGAATTAACAGAAGTTGTAGAAGCGGAAGCTTCACCGCGTGCATAAGGAGGTTGGGCACGCCATTCCTGATGTTCTTGAGGACGGGTATTATTTGGACGGCGATATGGATGAAAGCCATTATATTGAGCTGCATCTGATGATACTGAACGTTGTACTTGAGGAGGGGGGTAACTCTGATGATGAGCATGAGGAGGGGGAGTTCCACTTGGAAAAGGGGAGAATAATTGGGTTGGGTTAAAGTAATCAGGACGAGGATGTTGTTGTTGTTGAGAATACATCATCTGCTGATATGCCCACTGAGCAAGTTGAGCATTTGCCTGAGGATCGAAATAAGGATTTTGATGAGGTTGTTGTTGCTGTTGCTGTTGCTGTTGTTGTTGCTGTTGTTGTTGTTGGTAGTAAGAAGGGTAAAAGGGTTGAGCATTTGGACTTGGAGTCCAAGTGCCATGAGGCTGTTGAACTGGGTATGGATAAGGTTGGATGGGTATGTTAGACTGTTGCTCGTTTGGTTGAGGACGTGAATCCATTGTTGTATGATCGCGAGGTGGGTGCCAATCTTGTGGTGCGAGAACGGCCATGGGCAAACTGCAAGGACAGATTTCTTTTGATGATGATGGTTAAGTTGTAAAAGATTAAGATAAAAAACAAAACTCACAAAGATTAAGGAACAAAAAAAACAGTACTCCCCCCCCTTCCTTAAGGATGAGTTCGACACGACGGACAACGAATACCGCGACGACCAACAACTGGACAAAAACCAAATAAAACAAAACAATTCACTGAGGGAGTAGGTCTACCGGTGTAATTTCAGTTTACCCACGTGCTACCCATCGCCGCCTTCGCCATCTCCTTATAGACCCTGCCTATATGTTTATGCTCCTCACACGTTGACTCAGGGTAAACGGACGCTAATAGGTCAAATTCGTGCAGAAATTCAAAATTGGTTCTCTGTTGCTACCCCGCTCCCACCCATTGGCAGCGCTTACTCGAATCTGCCAGCGTGAGTGATCAATTCTACCCATGTAACCTTGTCGACGTATAATGCAAAGTACACTTGACACCTGCCATCATTTCAACTCGCAGCCGCAGTTTCGATAAAAAGAGCAGGTACTACTACGCAGCCGCAAGTTTCACAGCACCTTTCCCTTGACCCACACAGCTACGTTAGTCATCAAGGTCAAAAGAGCCCATCTAGAACATTCAAGGCCACTGAGAAATGCGCGACCTGGTTATACCGTTGATGAAGACGTAAGTCAGTTGCATTCGGTGGGACAATTTACTTTTTAACCTTTGGCATCCGCTCCCTGATGCTCGAATTTCGTCCACGAAGGAATACATCTTACGTTTGCACCAGATCACGCTGGAGCTGAAATCTGGCTTCTGTAGTGATTCATCCAAAGACAACGGTGGCAACGCAACGGGATGACCTGTGCGCGTGTGGCAAAGGAGGCGGCGCTGATGCGTTCTGGTCAACGTGAGTCCGGAATACGTCTTACGTCTGTACCACAGATTACGGGGGAGCTAAAATCTAGTTTCCGCAGTGATTCATTCCTCATCGCATTATTATCAGATACGCACATCTTTCCCTGAAGCCATCATGTTGATGCCCATCATGTCCTTTAACCATCCAAACTGGTAGCGTTCAACGCTTCGTCTGTCTGTCTAATACTTGGCATTCTACAAAGATAACAGTGACAACGTGATGACCAGGGCATATGTGTGGCAAAGGAGGCGGCGCTCTCGTTATTTACACCATCCCAAGCCTTTATATTCAATTCAACAATCTGGCCTGCACAGAGTGCTCGTATCCCTGACTCAAACTACACCAGACAACCATAAAACTCTCGCTCCAGACATCCTTCAACTCACCCGGCCCCCACAATGATAACCAGCCTCGCTCTTATCAATGTTGCAATTACGTACGCAGCTGCTTTACCACATCCACATGGTCAAATCCTGGCTTCCGAATCACCAACCTCCTCTTCTATCCCCACCCCCACTACCCACTCGTCCACCAACACCAGCGGTGCGTTCCTTATGAGCAAACTCACGGATGCACAACGCACACAGATCTTCTGGGCTGCAACTGTCATTGCTGTAGCTGTATCTCTACTTCAAGGCGCTATCACAACTCTCGTCGAAATTTGCGAGACAGAAGGTTTATGGACAATCAGATTCAGTTTGGGCAGGAGGGAACATCTCTGGTGGTCAGCCATAGCCATCGCTCTCGTCGCTTCCTTTGGCTGTATGGTCCTATCTTTCCTTGCCGGTAAGCGCCTGTCACAACTGTCATCTCGTATATTCAATGTTCCTGTAGGCAATAACAACGATTCACTCGGAATCATATTGCTAGCCAGCGCATCCTCTCTCGCCGTATTTCGCTATGCATGGCCTGCATGGCGTAATCGACACTATTGCTCTAATCGATGGGCAGCATGGACTGGCCCGAGCCGCACAGGAATTGATGCGACTCTAGTCCCCCTCATTGGAGGCCATGATCCATGGCCGATCCTTAGCAAAGAGGTCTCAGTAATGAAACCACACCCCGTCGACATCCATCTTCCGATCTTCCGATCAAATCTCATCGCCGATGACCCCACAGACATCCTCAAGGCCAGGAAGCGTCTCATGGATACCGTAATAGGACAATCCGAAAAGCAACCAGATGAGAAATCAGAGACATCCCTCATTCCAGACGACAAGACAGGTCTCTATGCCCCCATCCATTCCAATAAATCCGCTTCCCTCCTCTGGGGCACCCACATTGGGTTCTCTCCCCGCGTCAGCCGCGGCATCCTCGCAGTCCCCCAACGCCTCCTCCGATCTTCCCCCCTCACATCCTCAGGGCACGACGGGCAACCCGTCTGCCTCGCGCACGGTATTCTAGGGCGCAACAAAGGCCTCGAGCCGTACAGCTTCATTCTCGGTCTCAACCCCGGCAAATTCGAAGAAAAATGCGTCCAATGGCCACGTCCGAGCAAAGTCCTGCGCACGTACTACCGCGAGGAGATGAACGCGGCCTATGGAGGCCTAGGGTCTGTATTCGTAGATGCAGCGACAGAACTTGCGCTCCTGCTGGCCGATTCAAGCCATAGTCTCATCGAAGACTGGCTTAGCTTACGCATGGAACATCAGGATCACGCATTGAATAATCAACTCGCGCGTCTTGGTGCGAGCGATGAGGAGCTTAAGGTGTTGTATCGCCTTTCGTACGCCGCGATGTTGGTTAGTTTGAGCGCGCATAGGAAGGGGAGGAAGTGGAGGCCTGAAATGAAGCTTTTTACGGCGTATTGGAAAAAGTATAAAGAGGAGGAGATTCAGATGCCGGCGTGGATAGGTGGAGCTGAGATTGTGGAGAGAATTGGGAAGGAGGAGAGTGGGGCAGGTGATACGGATCTGGATGCGTTGATCGAGGCTGTTTTGTATAAGATTGATTCACCACGTTCTGTATGAATGAGCCACGAGGAGGAATATAAGTATATTAATATTGCTCGCGATCAAGGACTCGTCATGGCTTATGTCATCTTCAGAAGTGGACATCCACTCGTCGGGTACACAGGTCGGAACCGTTGTCGCTGGCAGTCAGTCTAACATATCTCGTCAAACGGTGCAATGGCGACGACGACAACAGTGATCCCAGTAATAGAGGAAGGCAAGCTCCTCAGTGAGTCCCTCAGCACCGTCAAAATACAAGTCGGTCAGATGAAGCGACATTTGGTGGGTTTCTGCGCAGCATATACATAATTTCACTTCAATGCTTGCACGTCATAATTCACTAACATCACATTGGTTCAGGATAACGACGACATAATGGACGCGCTGAAAAGCGCTAGCTTGATGCTAGCAGAACTCCGGACGTCATCCTTATCCCCAAAGCAATATTACGAACTCTGTGCGTCTTTCCTCCTCTTCTCCCTTCCCTAATCATGAATTTTCGTGCAGACATGGCAGTATTTGACGCCCTAAGACACCTCTCCAACTATCTCTACGATGCACACACCCAATCACGACACCACCTCGCAGACCTCTACGAACTCGTTCAATATGCTGGGAACATCGTACCGAGGTTATATCTCATGATCACAGTCGGCGCTGTGTATATGTCTATCCCAGATGCACCGGTAAAGGAGATCATGAAGGATATGATGGAAATGTCTCGTGGCGTGTTACACCCCATACGAGGCCTCTTCTTAAGGCACTACCTAAGCGGACAGACTCGGGACCATCTCCCTATCGGCGTCGATCCAGGGTACGTCCCCATACCACCCCAACAACAAAACCAACACTAACGTCCCCCAGACCTACAGGAAACCTCCAAGACTCCATCTCCTTCGTCCTAACCAACTTCATCGAGATGAACAAACTCTGGGTACGTCTCCAACACCAAGGCCACTCCCGCGACCGCGAAAAACGCGAGATGGAGCGCCGCGACCTCCGTATCCTGGTCGGTACCAACCTCGTCCGACTCTCCCAACTTGACGGCGTAGACCTCGAAATGTACCAGCACAGCATCCTCCCCGCTATCTTGGAACAAGTTGTTAATTGTAAAGATGTGATTGCGCAGGAGTATCTGATGGAGGTTGTGATTCAGGTACGAGTGATGGGGTTGATTGCGGGGCATTAAGGATGACCTCACTGACTTCCCATCAATAGGTATTCACGGACGAATTCCATTTACATACCCTTGGCCCATTCCTATCAGCAACAGCCCAACTTCATCCAAAGGTGAACATCAAGCTGATTGTGATTGCGCTTATCGACCGGCTGGCTGCATATGCTGCTCGCGAGGCTGAGAACGAAGACCCCGAGGAGACGAAACGTCAGGAAGAAGCTGCTGCTCGGAGACTTGCGGATAAGGTGAAAGTTCAGAAGGCTCGGGTAAGGGAGAATGGTGCTGCGGCTGGTGCACCGCCCTCGGCGGAGGATGCTTGGGATAGTGCTGTTGCTGATACGGAGAAAAGCATGGCTGAGTTGGAGGTTGGTGCAGGGGCGGCTGCGGCTGCGGCTACGACTACGACTACCAATGGCGTTTTGGTGGAGGAGAAGCAGGGACATGATGGATCGCCCGTTCGGAAATTCAGGGGTGTTCCAGAGAACGTCCGGTTGTTCGAGGTGTTTTGGAAGCAAGTAGTAGAGCTTATCAAAGTGAGTTTCAATCTATACCACCACACGCGATTCTCACTCGGTCCGTAAGGCACGGCCAGACTTGTCGATACAGGATATCACCGCACTGCTTGTGTCCCTCACCAACCTATCGCTAAGCTGTTATCCGGACAGGCTAGAATACGTGGACCAGATCCTTGGCTTTGCGCGTGACAAAATCAAGGAGTTCTCAGAAAGGCATGTTACGCGCGCCTTTATGACAACTCACACTAATCAAGCTCTCCAGCCCTGACCTCCACGCACCGCAGACAGCTGCAAACCTCGCTGCTCTCCTTGTAGCACCTATAAATTCCTACCAATCTGTCCTCACACTCCTCGCAATTCCCCAATATGTCCCCCTGCTCTCCCAGCAACTTTTCTCGACAAGACGGTCAATCGCTCACTCTGTAATTTCGAGCGTGCTCAAGAACGAAACGATCATCGAGGCGCCGGAAGATGTTGATGGGGTCTTGGAACTTTGTCATGTTCTTATCAAGGACCAGACCGATTCCGCTACACCGCAGAACATTGCTGGTGCCAAGGAAGTCAGAAGACAGGGACCTTATCACACGGAGAGGGAGGATCTAGCGGAGGAACAGGGTTGGGTTGCACGGATGGTGCATCTGTTCCGCGCGGATTCGTTGGATATCCAATTCGATGTGCGAATATTCTTTGCGGGGGTATCTCCTGAGCTGACGTGTTGTGCAGCTATTACAAGTGGCTCGAAAACATCTTGAAGCTGGTGGCGAACGGATGCGCTATACCTTCCCCGCACTCATCACTTCCAGCATCAAATTATGTAGGCGGTATAAGAACTGTGAACATCTGGTATGTCGTCTTGATGTTATTGTATTCTGCTGCTTACCATTCGCAGGAGGAGGGTTGGCAAGACAAGGTCAACACGATACTCAAATTCGTTCGACAGTGTACCTCCATTCTCGCCACCCAGGTCGATGCTCCAGCATTCGCACTGAGGTTATTCCTCCTCGCAGCACAGATCGCATCGGAATGCGGCTCTGGGTTCGAAGACCTTGCCTACGATTTCTACGTGCAAGCTTTCTCGGTATACGAAGACAGTATTTCGGAAAGCAGGGCGCAGCTCGCTGCTATCACCCTTATCATTGGCACCCTTCAAGGCGCAAGAGTGTTTAATATCGATGGGTACGATACGTTGATAACGAAGGCTGCGTTGCACGGTGCAAGGTTGTTGAAAAAACAGCATCAGGCGACGGCGGTACATGCCGCTAGCCATCTGTGGTGGCAAGAGCCTGTATTAGAAGAGGGCGAGGCTGATAGGCCTGTTGTGAAGGAGTCTGAGAAGGCTGCTTTCCCCCCTAGAGAGGATGGTGAAGGTGTTAAAGCGGTTCGTAGCCTTCGATCCTTACTGAGATGCGATGGCTGATAGACGGTGTCTAGTACCCACATCAGGACAGTAAGCGTGTACTGGAATGCCTTCAGAAATCACTACGCATAGCAAATTCTGCCACGGAAGAGATAGTTACCGTCCAGCTTTACTGCGACACGCTTGATCAATATTTATATTATTTCGACCGGGGCGCTCCTGCAGTGAGTACTCGCCGTTTCAACAGCAACAATAACATATTCACGCTTGGATTAGATCGCACCTAAATTTATAGTTTCACTTGTTGAACTCATCGCCTCCTCCATCGATACGATCACATCTCCATCGTCATCCTCCTCATATCTCCACCCCTCACAAAGAATAGAAGGCGTCGCGACGCCCGAAGTGATTACTCGACACTTCCGCAATACCCTTACATACATCCACGCGAAGAAAACGGCGGAGAACCCAGGACAATGGGATGAAGTCGAGGTAGTGGGGGCATTCTTAAAGATGGGCATCACGCGGTAGCGGCTGCGTGTTCACTGATCACTGATTGTGGTTCGTTTGTACATAGCGACAGACGCGGCACTTACTTATCTTAATGCCAGGCTGAACGTTGACTTTGGTTGGATCATTCGCGACTCGCGAGTATGCTTACAGTGTTCTTAACTTGCTGTTGTTGTCGTTTTTAGTTAGGGTGTACTTATGACGACCGCTTCTGGTACTGTTGACTTGAAGCACCGTGGTTTTGTATATAATATTTTTTTCACTATCGTGGGGACACTTGCTCGTATAGCGATTTGAACGATAAACGATTTTGCAATCGAAGTGACTTACGTAACACAACAAACTTTGTTTCGTGACTTGGCACACCTAAGTATTGGTCCACTCCATGTCAAAACGCAAAAATCAAGTTAACCACGAAGATTCCGACAGCGACTCGGAAGACGTATGATTCCATGAGGCTTCCCGTGATAATGTATAGTGACCAGCTCTTAGTAGACTCCGACGTTCATCGATGTAGATTTCGATTTTTTTGGCTTCAATGCAACGATCGACTACCATGCCATCAAGCGTCTTCTCGATCAGCTCTTTGGTGTAGACGCTGAGGGTCTCAGCACGCACGCTCTTGCGGACCTGGTGCTTTCACAGCCTGATATAGGGACCACGATCAAGACTGATGGAGAGGAAAGCAGCCCATATGCATTCTTGAGCGTTTTAAATATCGGTGTGCACAACGTGAGTATCGTTTGTTTTTTGTCTGGCATTTTTTTCAAGCAAGGATTGCTGTCAGGACAACGTGTCTATAAAGTCGCTCGTAGAGTACATTCTGGCAAAATCGAAGGGAGGCAATGCCTTCTACGAATCACTATCGACGGTACTGCGTGATCCTCAATGTCAAGTGGGTCTCGTTCTATGCGAAAGGTTGATCAACATGCCTGTGCCGGTGATACCTCCCATGTACCGTATGCTCGTGAATGAGCTCAAGGATGCAGTCGAAAAGGTGAGTCGTTCATTCTTATGAGCTTTTATATGAACCATAAGCCTTGTCGTCATTCCTCTCAGAACGAACCCTTCAATTTCACACACCTGATTTTCGTATCACGTGTATACAAGCTTACTCCGGAAGAGGAGGATGCAATGACTATCGCGCGACAACAACCAGGGAAAGCGTCAAAAAGACAGAAATCTCAAAACTCGAATGAGGAAACGAACGACAGAAGCCCGGATGGAGTATATCCATTCCACCCAGAGGACGAGGAAATTCGAAAGGTGCACCCCTCCATTGACGTGCTTTGAGATTGGTCTCACCTGGTGTCCTAGTTTGCCTCTCATCATCTGATTTTTCCGTATTCAAACGCCCAGCCACGCAATGCAGAGTCATTTGGATTAGACACAGCTGGACGGTTGATGCTTGTGCCAGCGGCACAGCTCACAGAGCTGGCAAGAGTACTCGGGGATGTATTTCAGCCACCTGAAAATGTGTAAACTGTCGGCATGCCACCATCCCTCCCCTCATTGGGCGAATGTTAATATGTGTTTCGATCGAGAGATACTCTAAGTATAAACAGAAACAAGCATTGGAAATAAAATAGATGACGCGTTGTTTGGAAAATCGGTCAATGGACCGGCTGCTTCGCTTTGTCAGTGCATTGTCGCTGCAGCACTCACTGCGGACTAACTGCCACTAGGTACCTTTGATGCTCTCGACTGCCTCCAGCGGGCATCATTCACATGCTCGCTCCTGGCACGGATCGCGCCGAAGGCGCGCCTTCCGTCAGAATTAGTAGATTATATAGATACTGCACAATGTATCTTAGATCCACTTCTCCCACTACGAGCTGCCTCGATGACCTTTGCAGTGATCGTTTTGTCATCATGGAATGTCAACAACCGAACTACTTCATCCATGGGACACCAGATGGCATCAAAATCCTCGTCGTCTTGTTCTGTCGTATTCATCTGGCGTATGGCACAAGAATCACCTCGTGCCGCATACCAAAAGATGATCTTCAGCAGACCCTGAGTCGTCCTTTGCGTCACAGCGACGGGTTCCGTTGTCCCTCCAGGTATCGCAGATCGGACATCATCATTCCCGTGGAGGGTAGCAAGGGTGGTCAACTGAAGGGGTAGTAGCTCAATGATGTATCCTGTTTCTTCGTACGTCTCGCGAACGGCTGTTGCTTCGAGCTGTTCCCCCACATCTTTTCTCCCCTTTGGAAGGCAATATTCGCCTGTTTTTCTCAAGTAGATGACGAGGACCTTAGATTGATCGATATCGAGGGTAACTGTGCCACAACTGATGACGAAGGATTCGGAGAGATGAAGAGATCTATTCATTTTCTTTCAGAATCTGGAGTGGGTCCTAATAGGAGCTTACTGCTCTTGTGACGGTAGGCTCCAACTCCGGAACGTGGTTCAACTCCGGAGTTATTGGACGTACTCCCGGGTTGCCTTCGACAGCTCTAGATTTGCAATTAGTATGGTGGAATGACGTCCCTGCATTCCATGTTGCGGGATAGAATGCTTGACATACCAGGAAGCGTTCAGGCGAAACTATCGACAATTTGCAGAATTAACGGGGGTCATATTCCCCATATAGTTATATGTCACGTGTTGGTAGTTTCCCTCATCCTCAAACGTACGGCCTACCTTGTTTTCACCTGCCTGAAAAAAGCACGACATGATATACATACATGCTACAGACCTCGAGAGTCATGTTATTTGTGCATAGGTGAGCTTGGGAGGTACGTTCAGACTCATTTTTTGTGCAGGTCAGACGGTAGCTTTATCATGCGCACGTCCACAGCCACCAAGGCTTCAAAATGGTCCTGGCGATGTATTTCTTATGAGGGGTAACAGGGTTACAGTGATATGTATATGCAGTACCCACTTGTACCAGAACACTACCTCAGAGCGGCAGGAACCATACTCAAAAGCAAGCGACCTTCCCAGCAATTCCTGTGAATCCTCATCGAGGAAGTACGGAATCCCATGTTGCTGCAGCTAACTGAGCGTGCCGCAGATAAACCCCTGGTACGCAGCCGTTGAGATCATAGACGAGTCGTCAACGATGAGTTCTCGTCGAAGGGCTTGAATCATGTCGAATGCAACGATATGGACAGTTAACCCTCATTGGTTTGCCCATCTTGATCGTCCACTCTTCTGCGTTTTGTCGTGGTGCCCTTCATAGGCTCATCAACATCATGGTTAGGCTGTTCGTGGCGAGTAACATAGCACCCTAATGCCTCGCTCCAGACATAGTCGTGAGACAAAATTCTAGTCAGAGTCTTGAATGCAGCAACGTTCGCAAAGGGCACATTTGTTCGTGGGTCTAAATATTTCGCAGGTGTCCCAGTGATCGGACAAGCTCGAACAGGCCGACCTACAATGAGAGGTAGGTAATACAGAACACCAAACGAAGAAAAACTCACTTAATGGGCGTTGTTTCCCTGTAAACATACGGACTTCGTCCCATTTGACCTCGTCGCCAAACATAGCTGACATGGTATCTTTCCATGGTGGTTTGGCCGCAGATGGATCTTGCGATAGCTCATGCACGATGTAGTTCTTGCAAACCTCGACAATTCTTTCTTGTGCTGGTGGGGGTTGCACGGGGTAATAATAATATGAAGGTTGAGATGGTGTGTTCACAGATGGTGTTGATGACTGCGGTTGCGATGTGGCAGCCAAGCTTTGTGATGCCGTAGGCGAACCTTCCAGCGCCTGGCTTGGCGGCGTTGGAACGTATGCACGAAAGGGAGACTGGTGAGTTTGTGTCCCAGAGAAGGAAGTCCCTTGATGTGGATTGTAGACAAAACCGTACTGCGATGGATATGGGGCAGGTGCTGGAGGTGTGACTTCAACTTTCATTTGTTCTTTCCGGCTGATCCATCGCAACACCGGACCTTCAAAGGCGGTTCGAACTACACGAGCACGGGCGCGTTTCTCTTCCTCAAGTTTGAGATAATCCCGGTGCTCAATAATATTCCCCTCCTCCGTGTCGAGGGCCCGCGCGATAAGTTCATCCTGTGTTGGTGCTTTCGTGACTACTCTTGCCTTCTTCGGAATAGTGGCCTGCAGGAGGGACAGTGAAGTGTGTCGAGTATGAAGTTGGATGAGGACTTACCCGCTTCTCTTCTGCATCCTTCATTCTGTTGACGGTTGCCGACGTATTCATGATTGTGTGTGATCTTTGACTCTGCCGTTGCCTTGTACCACCCTCAATAACTTCTCCTGTCTCTGCATTAACCGCGACACCAAGAGATACACGCCTTTTGAGCTTCTGAGCATCCTTGTTAGGTCTCTTCTCTGAAGTCTCCGTTTGGGGATTGAAGGTGACCCTGTGGCGAGCATGAGCAGCGGCGGTAGCTTTCTCCACCCTTGCGCGCGCGCTCTAGATAAATATGAGAATATTGATAGACAAACTGTAATCAATACACACCCTCCTCGCTCTCCTTTCCTCATCCTCGACAGTTTTTTCTCCGGTATCAATATCTTCAGCAGCTGCCTCGTCGTCCGTGCTTGCGAAATCTGATTCAAAACATCCTCCTCATCTAAAAACAGCATAAGACACATTCCATCAGTATTAAGCGCATCGTATTCACCTTTGTCATTGACGAAGTCAACGTCTTCTTCAGCTTCGTTGACTTCCTCGATGGCAAGCTCAGCGAGGGCCGCCTCCATCCTAATCATTTTCAGTCAGGGCAAGAACAAAATTATCGTACAAACCTATTCCCTGCAGTACTTCTCTTCGACCGACGCGATACCAAAGTCTCCTCTTCAGCCATATTGGATGATGTAGCACCGCGATTAGAGTGATGAACGACCAAGGGAAATGGGTCCACCCGAGAAAGGAAAGCTGAGGCATTAGAATTCAACAGGAGCAAACAACCTATAACCGGCTACAAATTAAAATTCACTCTCAACTTCATTCAGAATGCCTCGGTTCATTCCAGGGCCTTCTCGCCTGTCTGTCATACTGAAGGAACTGAATGAGGAACCAAGGTTATCCTTGACCGGTCTGCGGGGGATAAGCTTGAAGTTGGCTGCAAAAAACGATCATTTCGGAGCACGGTAAGCTATTTCATAGACAACTCTGATACACGCGTACCTAAGACAGACCTAGGCATTTTGTGAAGGAGGAGCTCGGACGCATACGCTATGCCAATCCACAACTTAACGTGGAGGTCAACAAAGTTCCAAAATCTCTACAAGACAATTGGACACCTGAGATGGTCGTCGAGTTCGGTACCTCGATTTCTTCTGTTAAACCTGCTTCACGTTCTGACATACTTCTTTGTTCCCCCTTTACCACTGTTCCTATCAAATGTACAGAGGACGGAGCCAAGACCACCATCGACATTTCAAATAAATGGTCCACATCCATTACCAAGGAACTAATGGATCTTGCTGGTGGTAATGTATGGAAAGAGCACAAGGCTGCTGCTCAAGCTGCTGGTCTGCCTATTCTTCCAGGCGAGGAGAAGGAACGCTTAGCTGCTGCCAAGAAACGGACACCGAAATTGAGCACGCGTAACCCAGAGAATCTGGAAGCCATGGTGGAAAATATGTTGTCATCACCTGAGCGTCCAAAGACTGGAGCTGCTGCCATATTACCCTAGCTTCATGGTACTTTCTCACTTCAGTTATTAGATGCATGCATGTGTTACCAAAAATAATCCTAAACTCATCGTACTGACGGAATTTACATGAACCAATCATCCAGAGAACCATCCAGCGATCAACACAACCATCCCGATTCCAAATACAACCGCCGACAGATCATCAAGGATGGCGCCTCCCATCCGGATATAGCGCAAGCCATTCGTGATGATAGATGGGAATGGAGGGGGCAAATGAGGCAGAGCTAGCGCCAACAAAACTGGGGGCTGCACTTGGTTCTATACAAATATAATCAGCACAACATTTATTCGCAACCTGAAGAAACTCACATTGCCCGTGGATATACGTATTGAGTGAAGCACAACTTGCACAGTCATAAAAGCCCACATGAACGGCTATACGTCGATCAGCGACGAGATGTCAAGTCAAGTGCGGAACACTGACCACAAACTGCACTCCCCAGCCTTCGATGCTAGAGCTTCTCCAGGCAAGCTCCGCCCAACGTTTCCATACACTTTCCGAAAAACCACCGCTGCGCTCGACTAATATTTGAGGTTCTTTGAAAAGAACAAAAAAGGCAAGAATAAGCCATGTGCACAGAATGTGCAGCAATGGCGTGAACTTCTGCACGGTCGAGAGAGGCTTTGCAGGTGCAGGAGGAACAGGTACTTTTCCGGTAGCACCACCACGAGAGGGGTCCATTTGTTGCAACGAATTCATGATATTAACGAAAGGGTCACCTGAAGGAGGTGTAGTTGTTCCATTGGAAGCCGCAGCTGAGATCTGAGGCTGAGGAAATTGCGGAGAATTGGCTGCGCCACTCATGAGAGCTTGAAGGAATTGCCTTTGATGCTCTTCTGACCAAACGGATGGGTCGGGTCCTGCTCCACTAACGCCTGCATCTCCAAAAGAGCGCAGCGGGGGTGTCATATATGGCGGGGAAGGCATGCTCGGCGTCTCACCCACAAAACTAGCAGCTGTAGCTCTGGGAGGAATACCTACGACACAAAATATTGATATTGTCTGCGGTACGCCAAGTCAAAACACCCACCAGCATTCAAATATGCGGGAGCATCTTCTCCACGAGCAGTCGTCGTCAATTTCGACAGACGGTCAGTTCCTCTGCCGAGGATAGCTTTGCGACGGGCCTCTGCGCGAGCTGTAGCTGACATCGTGATGGTCGTTAGTTTAGCCTTATTGAATGCAGACAATATGCTGTCTGCCTTTTGACGATGGATGTGGTAGGCAAAAACGTTGGTAGTGCGTAATAATAGGAAGCGGACCCTGACACGTTTTAGGAATGAGGCTGATTCTCCTCCGAAAGTCTATTCTGAATTCATCCTGTTTCTAACCACTTCGTCTTCTCGTCGACCATCATGTCCAGGCAAGATAAAGCCACGACTGAGCGAAACGCTAAAATTCTCAAAGATTTAGTCAAGCAGTCGGACAATAAGGTTTGTGCAGACTGCAAGCGGAACGGTTAGTCTTGTCCCCATTGTCCATCTCCAAGCTTAAATTGCTCTCGAACCAGACCCTCGTTGGGCATCATGGAATTTGTGCGTTTCGCATTACCGCTTCTGCTTTAGCCTGACCATACTTTCCAGAGGTGTCTTTCTGTGCATTCGCTGTTCAGGCATCCATCGTGGCATGGGAACGCATATTAGCCGCGTCAAGTCCGTCGATCTTGATATCTGGACACCGGAACAGATGGAGGTAATGCTATATCACTCATATGTTAGTCTTACGACCTGCTCAACGTCGTTTACTTTGCAGTCGATTCAGAAATGGGGGAATCGTCGTGCCAACTTGTACTGGGAATCCCATCTAAAGTCTGGTCATGTCCCCCCAGAGCAGTACGTGATTTTAGCCCTTCAGTCAAAATATAAGCTCACTATTTACCATAGTAAAATGGATTCATTCATTCGTTCAAAATACGAATCTCGAAGATGGGCACTTGATGGACCCCCGCCGTCCGATCCGTCGGTTCTTGAGACTGAAACCTCGAATGGATATACTTCACAAGCTGCTGAGCAGCCACCCCCCACGGCTACGCAATCCTCACGCCCAACTCATATACCAAATACCAGTATCTCTGGTGCAAGATCAGCATCTCCAACACTCCAAACCCACATCACAACACGTCAGCCTCAATCCCGTCAATTACTCTCCTCCGCAATCGCCGGTAGAGCGATCAACTCTGAAGTCACTATCATTACCTCCCCAACATCTGCTGCACCTCAGCCAACGTTCGCGCAGTCCACCCCTCCATCTCAAGATGACCTATTCTCACTAGACTTCCATGCACCCGCTCAAAAGGCGGCCCCACCGCCGTCATCTAAAGATATGAAATCAGACATCATGTCCCTCTTTTCCTCTGCTCCTGCTGCCGTCCCCAGTCATTCCAACCTGTCGACAGGTGCTAGTTCCGCTACTTTTGGCACTTTTGCGCCACCCTCTCAGTCACAATTAGCATGGGATGGAAGCGCTCCTCAGACACAACCTCAGCCTACAAGCATGATGGGGACCGGTGGCACTGGTTTGTGGGGCGCTTCTTCTGGCTGGAACGCTACTCCCGTTCCACCCTCCCAAAACACACTATGGGGGAGTTCTGTAACTCCTACGGCGCAACAGCCCCAGTCTCAAGTGAACTCATTCAATACAAATGACATCTGGGGATCGTCTGTCTCCGCACCCAGTAACTCCAACAACCTTCTCGGCACTTCTCAGGCGCACCCTGCGCCCAAGAAGGACGATGTATTCGGGGATCTATGGGGTGACTTCAAGTAACATTGATTTTGCATTGATACAGTTTGATAAATAAATTGTTTGTTATACACTAGTCCCGTGATCCTTTGGTTAACTCGATATCCTGTGGCGGTATTAGTTTCATTAGTGAAGAACCTATCTATCTCTCACCTGCTCAATAAGACCACGTGCGATGGGGTGGAATGAACTCTTGTGTTCTTCATACTTGTCCTGTGCCATCGCCTTGTTAACAGAAAACGCCGCCCTAAATATTGGCCGACAGAACTTCATTCGACCCTTGACCATCCCATCCTCTTCGCCAACAATCCAGCCCAAAGCCGCTGTAGCATATTGCTCCGACTTGGTAGATTGGGGATCAAGCAAAGCTACTTGGTAGAACCTCAAACGGAGTTCTGCATTGGGTGAACTAACCAGCCCGTAGAGGTCACCAAGGTCATCGATATGCGCTATTGGCAACGGGTCGAAGGATTGTAGTCGTTCAAGGAAAGCGCCTTATAAAACACAGTCAGCAGCAATAACTATGAGCAATATCCGTTCTCACCGATCTGGTTGGCGTCCATCCCACTGATATCGGTGGCACTGAACTCAGATGTATCTTTAGTTTTGCTCCACCTCTCAGCGAGCTTGTAGGATTGTTGCGCGAGGGTCATGTCATATTCCATGGGCACAGGAAGGGTCACGCCCGTTCCAAAAAGCCAAGCCTATGTTGACAATCGTCAGTCGAGTGATCCGAAGGAGAATAACTCAAACACTTGCATCCCAATCAATGCTTTTGAGCGCCTCAAGCTCGTCGTCCCCACCAAACCGTGTGTAGTAGTCAAAAAGATGCTCCTTCCACATCTCTGTGGTAATGCTTTTACCCATGAACGTCTTGACATAATCTTTCGCGTATGGAAGGAACACATCCAAACCACCCAACGTCCGTTCTGAAAGCGCCAAAACACTGTCAGCATCTTGTAGGTCATTTGGACAAGATCTGCACCGACCGATGTGGAGGAGGAAATTGGCGCCTTTGTCGTATGGCACCGAGCTATAGGCGTCGTCGGGGTTCTCGCCTTTCTCGAATTCAATTTGCAATTTCTGATATTTCTTATTGCGCTGCTCATAGAGTTTGAGGTCATCATAAAGCTGCTTCGAACCAGTTAGGAAAGAGAATCCGCGGTGAGCAGGGGAATGCAGTATCTGCTGGAGGAGGCGCTCGATGTACGTCGTCCAACCTTCGTTGAGCCAAAAGTGTGAAGCGTCTGCGTGTCTGTGCGAGAATGCCAGTCAAAAAGAAGTAGGAGAGGAAGGAGGATGTTCTGACGTTATACCATTCCCGAAGTAGGAGTGCGTGATCTCGTGTACGACGACATCCACTAATGTCCTGTCGCCCGTCAACAAAGCTAACCTCTGGTCAAAAACGCAACATGATAAGTCGTATGCACTAACTTGGCGTGACAAACGTCAAACACGCATTTTCCTGGATGTCTATCAGAATCTGACCCGAGGGATTTAAAAGAACGCACCATGCCACCATAAGGGAATGCCGGAGGCAACACCAGGAGGTCATACACGCCAAATTTATACGACATACCAACGAGTTCCTCCTCTGCAGCCAAAAACCTATGCAAAGAGTTGTCAAATATCTCATCAATTCTAATGCTCTAAAAAGAACCTTGTCGTGTCTTCCTTGAATTCCCACCAAGCGTCATTGATGATGTCCGGCTCGGCCCATACTCCGCTCGTCCAGTCCTTTCCTTCGAGCTTCTCGAATGCGCGGTAGCAGAGATTTCCTGACGCAATTGCAATCAAGTAAGATGGTATGGGCACCGGCTGGGTATCAAGGAAGTCAAGGTAAACCTGAATGATCCTGTTGAGCACCACACACCTGGTTGTAGACGTAGGTGACTTCATCCTGCCCAACAATCTTCCCATCGTGCACCGGTCCTTCCGCAGGCGGAGACACTCGAATAGCAGACATGAGTGCAGGAAGGACAGACGTGATCCTCGCTTCATATGTCTGTTGAAGATCTCAGTTGCAAATCACAACTGCACCAGACCAACAATGACTGACGGCTTTCACTGATGGAGTGTCTGAGTGTGTCGTACACTGTTTAAGCTGCTATGGCATATTATGCATCAAAATCTGAAACTTGCCTTGACATGGCAAAAGACCTCTTGCATAAATCGGTTGGCACTGACTGAACAAATAAGGATGGGTCTTGCCATGAGTTTGTCTTTTAAAATATCGCAGCAGTTTTAGTGGGAACACGAAACAAGAAGTCGTTCAATGGCTACTGACGCTTTGTCAAGCCACTGCAATGCCTTGCATCCTGGCTCCGTTGTATTGTACTCGATCGTCACTTTCACCGAAGATCCTGGCTGCAGACCTGCAGGAAGTGGAATATACAGCGCAGAGCCCATGACTTCATGTTTCTCTCCCAGGGAATACTGCAAGCCCACCCGTCATAGCACTTTGAGCCCGCACTGATCGAAGAGGTATATCTGCGCACCTGAGCATGGCAAGACTCGCCCTCGACGTACACGCGCTTGATCACGACATCCGATGTATCGAAACTATATACATAAGTACTCCCTGCCCAACATGGATAGGTAATTTGAAACACACATGACCTCCTTTAAATCGCTTGTGTGCACGGTAAGCTCGTGTGTGATAGAGCCTTTGATCACTTTCTCATGGAAATCAATCGACCAGTCGAGAGAAAAGTGTTTTGTGCTGATCTGACGATAGTTCGATTGAGAGGTTGGATCAGTAGTTTCGGAACTCATTAGACTTGTTGCCGCAGCCGCGTTGTGGTAGTAAGCGAGAAAGGTGGAAACAGCTTCCTATCCAAGCACCCTTGCGAGAATATCTTTAATGACCGTTGCCTCGAAGTTCACGTAGCGTTAACCGAATGGATTAATGTAAGACGAGAACAAAGGCTAGAAGGCAGTCCGGGCTGCATTAGGCAGGCAAACAGCGCTTCGTAGTAGTGGTACCACTTTACCGTCAACTTCGATAAAGTGTTCAAGTTTGCTGTTTCGATCGAAGTCCGTGGCACCGATGTGCTACTAATCTCCACAGTACTATCGTAACTAACTTTCCCTCACATTTCGATGCAGTCACAGGTTTGGGATACGTGAAACTAAAGAAGGTTTGTTCTGATAAGATGACACAAACAGTTGGGATACACCATTAGGCAGACATTAACTATAGAGTCCTTCACAAGGCCGCCACTGAAAATTACATGGAAGTCTCGTGTGACAACGTCCGCAACAAAGAGAAACATTAAATGTACTGACAAGCTGGGTATTGTATGTATTCGCAGAAACCGCATAAAACCGTGAGGTGAATATCGTCCTTGCAAGCTCAAAGCGAGGCAATTTGTGACCGAGGAGGAGACCAATATAGTCGGTCGTTAGTTGTCTGTGAACAGGCCCAGCGCTTCCTCATGTGCTTCTAGAAACAAGGCCTCAGCGTTTGCATCATCGAATCATGGAGGAGCAAACCTTGGGAAACTGAATGTCTGAACTATCTGGACAGGAATCTTCATCGTCAGTCTCTCCGAGTTTACGCTTCCTGACTGGAATTTTGATACGAAGACCAGAGTGAACAATGTCAATCTAGTGCAAGAAGTTAGTGTGCTAAAGGGACATATAGTTTAGAGGACTCACGGGTGTTAAGAGGGGGGTGGAAGAAGCGGAAGAAGCTGAAGATGATCATTTAGTCATGAAACATACAAGTATCTGTCGAGAGCCTACATGAACGTGAAGAGAACATTTCATCCATCTCACACTCCGGTAATTCCTTGGTCCGGAGGAGTGGCGCGCCCGGAGCAGATATGTCACAGTGCTCATGGTGGTGCATATTGTCATGAAGGCCAGCAAGCGGTGGAATCCGAATGACGAGACGCTTGCAGGGTTGGTCGTAGGCATCAGGGGGAGACACGACGATGTCTGGAATCTCCAAGCCAAGTTCGTTGCGGACATTGGCAACAAGTGCAAATGGTGAAAGCATCAGCGGCGATGGACTGGGAGTCGTATCAAGGACAGGCAGGGGCCTGACTGAAATCGCAGTCGAAGGACAACCTTTAGCCTTTGCTATATCAATGCGCAAGCCAGACCAGAAGGCACGTCGCTGTGCGTGATGCGTGCGCGTGATTGTTATGCGGCAACGCAGTTGACAAGCGATCTGGCCGTAACGCGCGTTGGCGTACCGTAGCCTGCAAGCGAGGTCGGAGAGAGCTGCGTCAGAGAGAGCGGTATGGGAAGACATCATATAAGATGGCGTTATTTCAATAGAAGATCAGAACACAATGAATGGCGCGTGATGGTAGAAGTGAAAATGATGAGCGTTTGACGTGTCGGTGAACGTGAAAAGAAGGTACAAAAATTGTAAAGCAGTCCAGTAGCACGCCTGCGTGCAGGATGAAAAACAGGGAAAGTGAGGATTACGAAGAGGGTCCGAGATTTCATGGATGAAAAAAGGCGTTCATATATATAGTCCAGGGGCTCATACGTCAGATTAGCTTGGACTCGGCGTAGAAGAACAAAGAAGTGCCACTCGTTTGATGTCCCTTTATTGTCATCTTCGGTGATATCTGAGATGGGAGACGGGTCAAAGCAAGCCACAAGTTGAAACGTGCCGTCAGATCATCGATGATCATTAACTAGCCGGCCTTTCTTCAGTGATAGTTACGTCGAACATCGACAGTAAAAACAAAGCAATCGTTAAGGTCCGGCAACTTGCATCGATACAGTGTGGGCGTAGAAATGAATATGAATGTTGGGACCGTCGTCGGTGTGGGCGCTAACAAAAAGGTCTTGTTCTAAAACTGGTTGGTGAAAGTCGTTATTGCACCCGACGCGATGCGATGCCGTGCCATGCTTTGTCCAAACCGATAGTAAGTTAGCCTTCCATATCATTTACAGCTTTTTAGTAAAAGTCCATCAAACTATGAATCGCGATCTTATGCCGACTCTTGCACATAAAATTGGTGAGATGATGGACTGAACTCAGATCCGAGACAGAAAAAGTGACCAACTTCTAGGCTCCCTCATCTTTTGCCCTCATTGTGGCACTCTCCTCAGTCCTCCAAGAGATGACGAGAAAACGGTCATCTGCGAACAATGCAGCTATGAGGAGCCAGCATCATGTGTGTACTTTTGAGCCACACAGATCATCATCTTGATCTACCGCAGCTTATGAGAATATTGAGATCACCACTCGGTCACATCCTGATGCATTCCCTTCCGCGCTGAGACAGAAGCGCAAAACCCAAACGAAGGTTCATCAGGGCAAAGTTCTACCAAAGGTGACCAGCATCAATGTATTGGAGACATTAACGTTTCCTTACCCCATCAACAGGTGTCAGAAAAATGCCCGGCTTGCGGACATCTGGAAGCTTATTACGAAGAGAAACAGGCAAGGAAGACTGTTAATACCGTCTGTGCTAAAAATTGAGCTGACCACGATTGCAGATGCGCAGTGCCGATGAAGGTTCAACAATTTTATACACAGTACGTCACCCTCCTCATTCATCATCCCCGTCTCATTCATTGTTGTTCAGTGTGTCTCTTGCAAACACGGCTGGCGTGTCAACAATTAGTGTAAATGTTTTGGGCGGGGGTATCCAACGGTCGATTGGAACTACTAGGACACGAACATGCCTACACGTTCACTCCAGCACTACAGAACAGGGCGACAACTCCGAAACCACCGAGGACACTTGCTAATGATGCCACCGCGGTCTCGCGTAGTGGAAACGTGTCTTTTGGAAGGCTGTGGACATGGGTATAGGAACACGTATTACAGAAGTTTAGAGCGGCGACTTACGTTGAAAAGTAGAATGCAAGAGTGAACGTTGATGCCAAGAGGATTAGAGCTATGGACGGCAGAAGTGACGCGGGCACATAAGGTGAGAATGGAGGCAGTGAATTATGTAGGGCCTGCTCAGCGTGGTTGAGACGTGTCCGAATCTGATTCAGACTATACGATGGATATCAAGGACATACCTGAATTGCCTCGTAATTGTCCATGACTGCAGCAGACGTTAAGCACGAGTTGTGAAAGAATCTGAAACGGAGAGCAAGCGCTGCTGCGGAGATTGCTGGTGGATGCACCAATATATGATTCTGGGCCACGGAAACTTGAGGCAAGCTGACGTATTGTGGCCGCCAAACACATGTCATCAAACCCATATCAACGACGTATCCGCCCCAACTCTCTTTCTTTCTTACCACCGTCTTGACTGCTACCTAATCAGTTTCCTCAGTACATATTCCACGCCCCCTTGAGGTCAGTCGTGTTAATTTAGATATCCTTATTTCTGTCTTTTGACAAGAAACCCGTTTATTGTCCCTACTCTGCAGATGTCCGCGACACAAAAGGTTCAGCAGCACCCTGCTTTCATCCAGGCGCAGAATAAGGCGAATTTTTACATCCAACAGCTCGACAAGGAAGTTAGTGACAGATTCTTGGCTAAATTCGTTCAACTAACATAAGCCCCTCAACAGCTCACGAAGTATCCAGTGTTGAACACATTTGAGCAGCGAACTCAGATTCCAAAGACATATTTTGTCAGCTGCACTGTTCTTCTCCTCACTCTTTTCCACTTTGTCAACCCTCTCGCCGCGCCTGTCTCTAACCTCGTTGGATGGGGCCTTCCGTCCTACCTCTCCTTCAAGGCGCTGGAGAGCCCCGGGCATCAGGATGACGTTCAGTGGCTCACGTATTGGGTTGTCTTTGGTTTCTTCAACTTCCTCGAGAGCATTGCACTCAGAATGGTTCTCTACTACTTTCCGTGGTACTTTGCATTCAAGACGGTGTTTATTCTCTGGCTGCAGCTCCCGACTTTCCGTGTAAGTCGCGAGATAGAATGCGTTTCAAGATGCAGACGATTGATGTCTTCTTTTAGGGCGCACAAACGATTTACGGCGTTGTGTTGAAGCCTGTCGTGTCAAACTTGGCCGGCTCGCGTGCTGTAGCACACACCGATACGGTGACAGCTGAGGGTGTCCGTGACCGTAATTCAGAGTGATTTCGAACACGCCCCCTCGCTATCCTCGGCTATCGTTTCGGTCTGTGTATGTAGTTCGGCTTGGATGGTCATAGACACTATCATACGCCCCCTTTCCATTATCCATGCTTTTGCTCAAGCCTGAGGAGTAATTCGTTTTACGTTTCGATATGTTCTAGTTCACGTATCTCTTCAAACCATTATTGAGCTTTTTTTAAGCCACATCATACAAACGTCGCGACGCGCGCGTGGAGGGTGGCTGTTGCGCTCTGATTGGATGTTACTTCTGTTATGGAAGGTCAGCAGGTTTCAGATCTCAGCGTACTCGGAACCGACCGAGCGCCTAGATCTGTCAACGCTAGTGAATTGTGAGAGAAGATGATCTCAATCGGTGACTTGACGACTGGCAGTTGTTTTCTATTCTTACTAGAGCTCATGTGATGTTTATAGGTGCCAGGCGTGGGTTCCACTCGCGAGTCGCCAACGATCTGATAGCTCAGTACTTTCGAGTTCTGATCATGACGCTCACATTGTGCGAAGTAGTAATACTGGAGTTCAGGCCTAGGTACAGCTGGTAGCAAGGTGGCACTGTTAGGCACGCTCTCCTGTATACTGGTCCAATATTTATTAACATTTATCTTGATGTTCTGAAACTAGTAATACTGTAAGGTTGAACGCTTCGAGTCGTTCTCTGATGTCGAGCCCCGCTCGGCGTATCAGTGAAGGGGTGACACCGGTAACATGTGGTACCTGCCGACTCTGCGACGGTGGGTTTCGATACCTGTCTATGTACACTCACTGGCACCTGCTCAGATGTGTTCGTTTCGGGTATATGACCTCTCAAGCATGTCGGCGTATTCCGATTTGGAATATTGAAATAGATTTATGGTAATTTTGGCGGTCTCCGTTTCCTTTATTACTCCTGAAATGCGCTTTTGCGTGCATATGTGGTGAGATGTCGTACCACAGCCTTGCTTCGCGCACTGCCCTTGTAGGCGCATGTGTACGTTTGTGTGCAGTCAAGCTATTGTGCCAGGCTGCCAGCAGGTTACGGGTTCGCGATTGCCCGGATTTGTGAACCTCGTCTTGTTCTGCTATCAACCGTGTAATATTTCTCTTAGCGACGTATTTGTGTCTGCTGAAGTAGCCTTGTATTTCTGCAGGAATTCGTATGCGATGCTTTTGTGTTGAGATAGGCACCCACTGAGGCATCGCATCGATTCTTGGGTCATATGGGACCTTCCTTGGCGCAGTATGGGGCTGACACCTGTGCCCGCCCTTAAGGTGCTCAACAGTACAAAAGCTTCTCCTGTAGACATTTCAGCCTTCAACAACTTGAATTCTTCCATCATGCATTGCGATAACACGTTCGACAACTGTTCCAGTCGCAGTGGCGGCTTGTGTGGTTGGTTACGCAATTCTTCCTTCTGCCGCACAAGGCAAAGAAGTCGAAGTGTGAGTCATGACATTCACACCACCCCTGGTAAGTTGTTATCTGATTTCTGTACATCATTGTAACGGGATGAATTTGCATGATCTAGGATCAGTCCCTCCATGGCGAAATGGCTTTCTGCCACGGTATCCGTATCGGGTGCCTGCCTGGGCCGACGCAAGCAGGGTTATCATGCCTGCGCTGCCAGCCAGACAACCTGATCACAATGTGTGGTCTTACCCAGCTGGCAATCTAACCTGGTCTCCACACATGAATGGACTGAGCTATTTACCCGCGACAGTTCAGTGGACTCCTGCCACACTGTTTGCTGTACCATGGCCCCAGATAGTCGATGAACGCCCGAAGATTGTACCCTGCCTCGCAACAAATCCTTTCCAGCCAGACATGCCTATGCTTCAGTGGGATATCCGCCAGAACCCAATTACAGCTAGGCTAACAACAGGCGCACATATTTCCATGGATCTGGCACAAGCTCTGAGCTCTGAAGTCACGGATATCCCGGTTGGCATTATCGACATTGCCATCCCAGCTTGTCCCACGGCGCACATGTGGGATCCCATCAGGGTGCAAAGGACGAGCGCTATCAAGGTCCAAGACGTTCTCGATGCCATCTACAACTGGCTACAGACACCTCTTACTCTAACTGAGATGGAGTACATCGGATGTGTATACCCAGACGGTGGCGATGCAATTGTGCGGGCTTTACAAGAGAGAGCTTCTGCGAGTCCGACGTTACATGGCTGGGAACAACGACAAGGACCACGACGTATAGACTGTTTAGGAGAAGTTCGTAGATGGATGGGATTGAGCTACGCTCCTACGGGGCAGGGCATGCAACTGTTTCTCAACCTTCAAACCGTACATCGATTCTAATTTTTTTTATCGAATCTTCGCTTGATACCCCGGTGATACCCATGTCAACTTTACGAGCCCAGTAATCTCGTCTTCACACACCTACGTTCTCGATATTTAGGGCTATTTGTTTATTTGTATTCTTACATAATCGTAACCGAACCGATATACTGCATTCAACAACATACGACATCGCATCGATATATTGGAAGACCCAATTCGCGATATTACGAGCTGGCAAACACAGGATCTGACACTGCTGTACTGCGTGTTTTCCAAGAATCCTGACGGCTCAAAGTTGGCTGAGAATCTGGGTCCCAACACATCGAATCCATCAAATATCAACCAACTATTACGATGTTGGGATTCTCAGTAGAATCACCGACGTATGGTGTCGACAATGGCTCAAACTCACAGGTACCCTCACCTAAGTTCTATCCACCTTCCAGCAGCTTTCACCTTCAACTCGACCTTTAAATTTAAAAGTGAAGGTACCGGTGTGCACATCACTGGCAGCTGGTACATACTCGCATAACACGACAGCGGCACCAATACAGGTCTTTCATCGTTTACTGATATTTTATGAGCCCCAAAGTCATATCCATAAACAATTACAAGTCTGAAACGACGTGGCAGGTATTGGTTATTCAACTAAATTGTCGGTAAGCACTATACATACTTAAGCTTGCTGCGATGTGCTCGTGTTACTCTGCGAACCCATTTAGACTACTCCACCAAAAAGGTCTAGAAAGGGCCAAAGTCCTGTGGCAAGAATCGGGAGGAACCAATTATCCAGGCCACGCATGGACCATCCCTAGCTCCTTCAAATTGTTACGGTGACTACCGAGCTGATGGGATCATGATTCATCAAAGCACGGGCTGCTTCCACCAGATTCGACAATTGAAACGCGTACTTTTGTAAGTCTGCAAGTGAAAGTAGAAAATTTCTTGTATCTTCCCCATTTGCTGCAGCTGTCTGATGGCTGTTTCAATAAACGTAGCTCAAGTTGTAGGTCTCGTATGCGAGGCGCTTTTGTATGGTGCGTGATGTTCTTTCTGAGTGATTCAGGTCCATCGCTGACATCATTGCGCAGGAGTCTACTGCGTGCTATTCATCATCTCTGTCGTAATCCTCATCAGACACCGTCGAGTGTCTAACCGAGTGATTTGGATTGCAAACTGCCTCCTATTTACAACATCGACGGCTCATTTTGCGTTGATGTTCAATCACTTGTATATCGCACTCGTGAGGAATACGCAGGAGATTTATGATGAGATGAAGACTCATATTGCTACAGGAAAACGCTCCGTTCTCAGTTTTCGGAAACGAAACTTATGCATTAATGGGAGCAAATTTGATGATTTCTGTGGTCGATGTCATTGGAGACTTGCTTCTACTCTATCGATGCTGGCTTGTCTGGGGGAAGAATTTCTATATGATTGTTCTCCCTCTGCTCACCGCTCTTGGGGGATTTGGTAAATCATCATCAATCTTCTCTTTGGTCAAAAACGCTCACCTTCACCCCCATTGTGCCAGGGTGTATCCTACCCATACCATCTCTTCTATTATCAATCGACCCGACATCACCAGTTCCTCCAACTGAGATCGTACCCTTCGCTATTGCCGCATATACTTTACCTCTTTGCACAAATGTCATGGTCACTGGGCTCATCGCTGGTCGCCTTTGGTACATATCTCGCATTCCCATCGTCGATGAGCATGGAAAGCCAGTGACCTTGAAAATCGCAGCTGGCGGGCGCTCGATGATGCTAATCATCGAAAGCGGTGCTCTGTATATGGTCACACAATTCATCTTTGTCGTTCTCGTGGCCACTCGAAATCCTGCCGAGGCGATATTAAGTCTGGCTGGGACACAGATATATGTAAGTCATTGTGCTTTCTAGTTTGTGGTCAAGCTCAATCGACACATGCGTATGAGGGTATCGCGTCCACCTTGATCATAATTCGTGTTGGGCTTGGCATTTCGTCTGAACAGATTACTATGCCGACGATAACTCAAGTAGAGTTTCGTTCCCAACGACAAGATACGGGGATGCGCTCAGTTGGCACGTGGGGAAATGATCACTCCTTTAGTTCTCCATTAGCTGCACAATTGGGCGTGGAACAGTGGTCATCGGGTCCGCTTTCGAATCCTTGATCACTATTTTCATATCGATAGACCAGAATCTCAAAAAATTCACTTAGCCGCTTTTGTTTATTGGGGCGACACCCGCTCCATAGTGCTAGTTGCTTTTTTAACTTGTACGTCAACCTGACTTGTGGAGCTTGTGCGGGGCGGACCCGGGCAGGTACTAATGTAGTGACGAGACCTTAGAATCCTACCACGCGGGCACTGATCTGCGACCGGCTGCACATATCATGGAAGTACTATACTACACTACTATTACCAATTGTAGGTGACCTTCAGAATCATTGCCAAGCAACGAAGCCCTCGTGCAAGATAAAAGTAAGTCGTTCTTGTGTGGCCTTCGACGTCATGTTGCGTGTGGACACGGCAACCCACTGCTGTTTCGCAGCATCTGGTATATGTATGTCGATGGTTTCCATGCATGGTGGTACGGTCGGCGGTCGGCGATCGTTGTACCAGTACTCGCCGAGTTATGATGATGACTAACAAAAGTTGCTAGTAGTAGCATGAGGGCCTCTAACTGTTTGGTGTTACTGCAACAATAAAAAAGCGGCTAAGTAATTTTTTGAGATTCTAGTCCATCGATATGAAATAACAAGAAGGGAAGACAGGAAGCCAGTTGTTGGTTTCGCTCTAAAGCTAAACAACGTTGGTGAGCGGGTAAAATGGAATCTGGCCTATTTAGCTAGAACATGTATAAACTTGAAACTGATTCGGAAGCTTCGAAGCCTTGGCTATGTACGTAATCAAGTCGCTTAGCATAGCACCCTCAAGACTAGTGTCGCGTAGGCCGGTTAGCACATTAATGGCAGAACTAGCAAACCTCTAGGCCATGATATACATCATCCCATCTGTCATCGACATCCTCACCATTGTAATCAACCACATCAACCTCATCTAGAATACCTTCTGGAATTTAACCCTATCGGCAACTCACCGCATTTCCCTCGAGCCCTTCAACTTCGTTGATGCTCTGAACTTCTTCGGTCCTCTTCAACTCTTCGAGAGCTGTAACTCCAGCAGCAGCATCAGGCGAGATACTGTCTGGACCAGCAAGAAGGTCATCGGGATTCTGCATCACGAGACTCGGTCAAGAGCGGAGATATTCATGCGAAAGAAGCTGTGTAATCATCTCGACAGCAATACCGACTTCTTCCTGAGTGCGCATGTGCGCATGTCGACGGCGGACTTTCCAGCCTCTGCGGCTTTTACGGTGTTGTCGAAGACTCGAAGGCCTGAGGTTCGCACGAATCTCGCTATGTTTCAAATGTTGTCGCACGGTTTGTGTGATGCCGAGATCGTGCTCCTGCATGCCATACGATCGTCAGGGCAAAGACGAGTGGATAAAGCTTTGGAATTGATTGGAACAGTGATGCGGGGAGGCGTCCTCCTTTTTACTTTAGGGACGTCGGTTTTTATATTTTGTCGAATTCAAAGTGTGTCATCAGACCTAAATTACATCTTCGTGAGTCTCATGATCAGCTACCCTGGAGTTCTGCCAGGTTCTTCCACCCACCCTTCGCGTGAGTTCTGCCGTGGACCAGGCACTGAGGCACAACCAGTTTTGCCAGACCGGTTGGCAACACTCCCGAGTTCTGCCAACAACACTATCCAGGACCAAGACCCGACCGAAGGCTAGTAACCTGCGTCAACAACGACTTCAAAAGTTACCATTTGACCGACTCACGGAGCCCTATTATGCCCATTAGCTAAATCACGTCAGTGCTTCAAAGGTTTTTGCTAGATATGGTTCTATTTCAATTGCAGCAGGATGTCTTGTGCTCCAACCCTCTTCTCCCCCCGAACTTGTTATGAGCATCTCAGTAAATGTCTCTGCAGCTGTAGGTACGGTATGCGAGGCGTTTTTGTACGGTACGCGATTCGCTGCTGTCAATTCTCGGATCAGTGATCACTTACATCACCATGCAGGAGTCTACTGCGCTTTATTTATTATCTCTATCGTAATTCTCATCACACGATATCGAGTATCCAATCGAGTAATATGGGTTGCGAACTGCCTCCTCTTTATGACATCGACGGCTCATTTTGCATTGGTATTCACCCATTTCTACATTGCACTCGTGAGGAATATACAGTTTATGATGTAATGAAGGCTCACACTGGCACAGGAACATGCACCGTTCTCAGATTTTGGAAACGAAACTCCTGCATTAATGGGAGCCAATTTACTGAGTTCTGTTGCTAATTTAATTGGAGACTTACTCCTACTCTATCGATGCTGGTTTGTCTGGGGAAAGAATTTCTATGTGATTATTCTCCCTCTGCTCACTGCTCTTGGGGGATTTGGTAAATCATCATCAGTCTTCTCTTTAGACGAAACCGCTTACCTGCACCTTCCATGTGCCAGGGTGCATTTTGCCCATCCCATCCCTTGTATTATCAATTGACCCGACATCACCAGTTCCTCCGACTGATATCGTACCCTTGACTATTGCCGGATATGTTTTGCCTCTTTGTACAAATATCATGGTCACCGGGCTCATCGCCGGTCGCCTCTGGAACATATCTCGCATTCCCACCATCGACGAGCATGGAAAGCCGGTGATATTAAGAATCACGACTGGCGGACGCCCGATGATGCTCATCATCGAAAGCGGTGCTCTGTATACGGTCACGCAACTCATCTATGTCGTTCTCGTGGCCATTCGAAATCCTGCCGAGGCGATATTAAGTTATGCTGGGACACAGATATATGTGAGTCCTCGTACATTCTGGTTCGTGGTTCAGCTAAATATACACGTGTCATCAGGGTATTGCGTCCACATTAATTATTATTCGTGTCGGGCTAGGCAGCTCGCTTGAGCAGACTGCACCGACGACTTCGAGTAACCTGATATTTTGGTCCCAGTCATAAGGTACCAGCTTAGTAGGCACATGGAGGAACAATCATTCATTCGATTCGCCATCGACTGCATATTTAGTGCAGAGTCGGGTTAAAGTTGAATCCTGGATCGTTGTAAGATAAATATAAGTATTCGAGACATGTACAAGGACCAAGGGCCACATAAATATATATGCTTGCCATTTGGAAATAACAATGATGTAAATTTGGTTTGACAAGTAGTAAGCGATCGGGACGGTCACATCCAAAAATGCTTGTAGCTTTGTTCGTTATGTAATGGCTAGGGCCTCCGAAGTTCGGACACATTGTTACGAAGGCTCCAAGGCTAATAATAGTTCTGCATCACTAAGCTCGGTGTAAAAATTACCGTTAAAAAAATACGCCTGCCGCGAGGGTGCGTGACGGGCGTCTATAGGAAGAGAAGATCATTCAGTAGTGTAATCAAGGCTTTGGCCGTCTGTACACTCACTAGTGAAGACTATGTTTAAGCCCGGGCATACGGTAGTCTAGAAGTGTCCAAACGCTCCTGACACGTGGCATTAAATTGAGAGGCTAGCAAGACACCATCAAAGCTGTGACCCAAATAAGCCGCATTGTACGACTTTTAAACAATCGTAACACTCAAGACACCATTGTCCTCGAATGGAATCAAGGCCAAGAGAGTCGACAAACAAATGCCCTAATACAATCTGTCAAAATACAAGTGAAATTAACTCGTCAGATCGGAAAATTGGAAGACGTATAACTCAAGTTAGCGTTAAAGTCTTTTGAAATGCCAGTTCGGGTCCTGCTAGATCGCAAATGACGTCTGACAGAAAATTCTTCAAGTTTGAAGATCATTCAATCATTCAATTTCCGCGACTATAACACATGAGTTCGACGTAAACTCCGAGTCACGAGCGTCGATGACGAGAAAAGTTTGGTACGCACGCTGTACCGTGAAAATTTCCAAAGGGTGCCTTTCCTTGCTTAGCGCTTAGTGCTAGAATCCATGTAATCAGTATTCTGGCAGCTGTGCTTAGCTTAAGACTGGTAAAGTGAAATTAGGCTGAAATATCAGATTCTGAGACTAGAAAACTGGGAGTCGTCTATAATGATCATAGCTACCCGGTACCGCCCGAGGGTCCAGAAGGTGGTTCCGAGTGTGAGGCTGGCCAATAGGCTGAGGTGCTGGGATCAATCAAATGGTAAATAAATGTTCTTCTGGAGTGCTTCGGCTCCTAAATATTAATGTTGACGGTGACAGAAACAAAGTAAGTACTAAGAACTCAATGTGAACTTTATGACAAGACCTCGAAAACCTCATCAGCTGAAATTTTCTTCTGACTTACCCAACAGCGGCGGCAACGTGACTAGACCACAAACAGGGCAGGTTGACCGTGGTGCTCGTTACCGCAAACATTGAGAACGGTAATGACATGTCGTCTACAAAATAGTCGCCACCTAAACCTTAACCTACGAATTCGGTTGTTCATTACATATCTTTTTACTCTTCAGAACATGCATATGCGCCCTCGCACCGCAACTCCACTCGTTCCATCACTTTCGCTGCCCCCATCCTTATCCGGTGAGTGAAGGCGCGCTTCTAGTGCCTATGTCCACCGTCGTTCTCCGCCAATGCCCTCCGACAAACTCATCCAGCCGACAACGCCGCCATCAAATATCATTTCGAACAGCGTCCACGTCATTAAAGTTGTACGAACTTTCGTAAAAAAACATATCTCCTTATCTTGCGTATTGTCTTCCTTAGTTGGAGTGACCAAATTTGAACCGGGTTACGGGTTAGATAAGTAGAATAAAGCTAAATAAGCACTCCCATGTTTTCCTGATGGGCGGGCGGGAGGTCTGGTGCGACAGCGCTGACGTTGGGCCTAGCGCGTGACGTGGGAGGGCGTAGATTGGAGGTTGTAGGTCTAAGTGTGCTTAACCTTATACTGAGCGGTGCTGGAGGTCTCGACCTCTGAGGTAATGCACGTGAAGCCGATTAGTACTTTGGAAGGTAATCTGCCTCGTGTTTTAGGTTGACGACTATTCGCGCCGATCAACTCAGCCAGCCCATCGACAATTTTCGTGGTTTGCTTCTTTGTATTACGCGTCGCTCACCCTGTATTCGACCATCTATTCAAAATACTCCAGTGCAGCTACTGCTGTAGTTCCCCGCTTAAGTATCATAGTAGACGCCCATCAAGTTAAGCGATATTTCCGACGAGAAGGTTCATCTCGAATTACGAAGTTACTACTAGTAGCAGTACGTATTGTATATTACATTATTTCTAGAACGGGTAAGGCTCCTACAACCCTGACTTCACGTTCTGCGAGGAATCAATGCTTTGACTCTGTCCGCCGTCGACTCGCGTCTTTATTATTTTAATTGTCTGTCCAACTCTTTCAAACACTCACTCAGTCACTCCTTCGATTAGAATGTTCTGTACCCGCAGGCCGCCAACTCTATCCATAAATGAGTTAAATCATATTCTCAGCGAGTCTCTTGACATAGAAAGACTTGAAAACGTTAACGTTTCCGACACTCTCCTTCACGATCCACTCCCTTCGACCCCGGAAAAACAAAAAACCTCAACGTTCCACCGCTTGTTCTCCCGTTCAGCATCACATCTACCTCTCGTTCCACGTTCGCCCATACTAAAACACCTAGACGAGCCTGTCACACCGAGCCCCCGCAAAATGGCATTTACCTGGCGTTTATCACGCTTATCGCCCCATAGGTCTCGCAGAGATGAGGATCATACAGTGCGTATATGACTCTGTACTCTAACACTCATATTCATGTTACGCAGGTGGAAGACATCCCAAGTGTCCCATTAAATCGTTCTCGCTCGTCATCTGGATGCAGTATCACTTCTGCCGTTTTATCTCCTTCGAGAGCACTGACTAGCATGTCTTCGACATCTAGTCTTGGTTCAGTGATACCTACGTCTGAGCGTTTCTCCAAGCGTCTCGCAGAATGCATGGAGACGGTCAGTACAAGGAGATCCCCCTCACCAACACATTCTCGGCTTTCTCCGATACACTTTCCACCCACACCGCGTTCACCCCTGCAGCTCCTGTTTGGTAATAAATCAACACCGAGTAATACATGCAAAGGAGCAACGATAAGTACGGATGCCACGGAAATGGGGTCGAGTACCCCAGTAACCGAATGCAATGTCATTGAATCTATCGATGATAATGTCACACCTCGAGCGACTGGATTCACCATTTCATCACATAGAAGTAGTGATAGTACTGTCCAGGCCAAAACAAGACGACGGCCCTCAGCATTGACACTGGTTCTTCCTCAAGAGATTGCACCCCTCTGCCTTCAACCAGCGGTCGGAGCATCACCCCATGTACCCTCTGATACTGAAGGTTCCATCTCTGCGTGCTCCCTCCCATCTCCTACTTCATCCATACCTACATCATCCCAGCTTTCATCCTACGTTCCTTCGGCCTCATCTAGCGCACCTAGATCGTCTACCTCAACGACTTCGTCTTTTCCCTGGTCTCGTGCACGGGCTGGCTCCCGTTCCATGCTGACACCGCCATTGCCGGGACCTCCACCTAGTAGCCCTCTTCCTCCACTACCCGCTTTAACGGCACGAAATTCGGATGTTATCACGCCCCCCAACGCCCCAGTTCCTCTTCCAACGACCAACTCGACTTCCTCAAAACGTGCTCGTACTCCTGTGCGTACTGACTCGCCTTCGGGCACAGTTGTGATCCCTCCTTCTCCTGGAAGCCTGCGACTTCCTTCTCGTTTAAGCTGGGGTGCTACAGGACGCATCGTGGTTCCTCTTCCCTCGAGTCTACCAAGTCCGCCTTCCTCCCCTTCGAAAGTAGGGGGAAAGAGAGAACTTTCTCCGTGTTCCCCCACCAATAATAGCATGTCCAATGCCACTTCCCCTATCCTGGACAAGCGTGCGAGTGTTGGGATATTAGAGGCTGCTGATGATTTGGAAGCTCAAGTACGACTCATGAAGAGCATACTGGTACCAAGCACTCGACGTTCAAAAGGGACACTCAGCTGTTCCAATTCACCTCAAAAACGCGTGCAGATTGCTGAGGCAAACTCTGAACCTGCAAGCCCATCAAAGAAAACAAGGAGGAAGTCGAGTGCTGTCTCCACAGTACCGTTTCTAACAGTTCCGCGGGAGCGGAGAAGATCTGCTCCCTTACTGCGAAGTGGAGCCATACCGAAGGCTACACTTATCCCTCCTGCATGCGCAGACTGGACATTGTCGCTGCCTTTCTGCATCGATGTACCAGGGAGTGGCATATGTGTGCCAACGCCTCCTTCAGAGGACGGTGCCCTTCATGAAGCCGATAAAGCTCTACAAGTAGCACAATGGGATGACTGGACCCTATCCCTCGGTGCAGATCGCCAGAAACTCGCAAAGGTTTTGGAATGTGTGGTGAACCAGAGTTTGGAGGTTAAGGACGGCGCAGAAAAACCATGTGCTGTTACTGCACAGCTTCCTACGCCGAGTACCACACCTGAGCCTGGGGATAACCTTCCAGCAGCATCTCTACCCTCCCTCTTTACGCCTTTTGCTCGGTCGGATTCTCCCGTGAGCCTCGGTCCTCACGGTGGTGGCCTTGATCTTGATGGAGGGTGTGGGAAGCGAGGTTCTGGTTGGGATGTTTGCGGGTGGTTTGGACTCAGCAGCAGCATGTACGAACCTCAAACTGAGACCACAAGACCTGTCTCTTCGCTTCACTCGGAAGCTTCGTGGATGCGCCAGAGCTGCGATACTGATGCTTCCCGGGGGGGTGATATTGATCACGATTTCACCCGAAGGAGCCACAAGGAGTCCCCGAGCGAGGATAGCACCACGACAACGGACACCCTGTTCTACAGTGCTCGCACCAGCATGCTTGTCAGATGATGGTTTTATGGGACGTTCCAATTGTTGTCTCGTTGACTTTGTGGATCTCTCCCAAAAGTACGTCTCCACCATTAATTTCTCCACCAAGTTCGCACACCATGAACGCCCCAATGGGATCCCGGCCTTAAGGTTCCCAACTACATCTTTGTATCTCATAAATATGCATATCCGGGTCTTGGTGATATATCTCAGGATGCTGTTGTATCTACTGTACAATACTTGCGAAAGCTGTGCTGTCGAATGATTTGGAAGACGTACTTAGCCTATCTTATATCTCATATCTTCTAGATACTTATTTAAATACGTAGTATGACCCTTAAATATGAAACCGCAGGGCGTTGTTTTCCACTCAGTTTCCGCGGTGGCCTGATGTATCCGCAAAAGTATCGACCTCGTGTAAATTCGGAGTCGGACGGGCGGATCAGAGCTAGTGCCAATGCAAAATTACATATCTGAGCGCTGAGCCACTGATACAATATTAGTGGCACGCCGACCATCGTCCTTCGGGTTCGTCTGCCCGATAATATTATCCCTGCTATTAGGGCTGACTCGAAAGAGGATTAGCACGCAACCATTTAGTTACACTTGACTTATGGGGTTACTGGGTTTAATCATAGGTGTCACTGGGGTCCAAATGAAATGAAATAGAAAGAAAAAGAGATTGAGAACGTTCATTGATTTAACCATGAACGGAACATTTGAAAACGGACCCGCTCGCGTCGCAACCGCCGGAGAGTCCTGTAATGCCCGCGCCGATGGATGAGCGCTAGCAGAGTCGTCGACTTCGAATGATACAACATCACTGTGGCAATCATGATAGCCTCCTCGGTGATGAAAACTCGGTCTGGGATGCCCTCCCAGTGGCGGTGGTCGGTCATATGGTCATCATGATCATATGGAACACGGCCCGCGCTGAACCGGGCACAATATTAAAACCGCAGCAGACACATTGATGTCACTGCTTGAACGAATATATGCGGCGGCGAAGTGTCAACCTCTGTGAGTGACAAAACTAGCGTCTTGTCCATCTTCTTTGTGCTCAGGTACTGATACAGAGCTTGGTTCCTCGTGCGCTTTGTTGCGATGCACCGCGTTAGCGACGTCCGTTTTTAGAGAATGATGGACATATTGGCAGTATCTGTCAGACTGTCTTATCGTGTGGCTTGCACAGCCGCTGGCGCTGGTGGTGGCAAATGCCGCAAATCGTGCCAGTGCTCGTTCGAGATGCAAATGAAAGTGAGTATTCGATAGATGCATTGATGGTCGACATGAGGTTGAATTGACGTGTGGTAATGCATACCCATCGATGCGGACTGATGGCAGTCGACAAAGTATCGTAAAGCTTGGTTGATAGTATTGTTCGTTCGTTCACGATATGCCGACCTTAACAGTTTCCACCTGCTAGCGTGCCACTCGCACCCTCTTCCTCCATTTTGTGACAAGTTGGCAACTAGATACCTCGTCCTCAATTATACTTTCAAACCTACCCAACGAATTGAAGACGTTGATGTTCCTCTTCGAAAGAAGTGCTAGGAGTGATTGAAGCAGAACCTGGCAGAGCAAAGGAGAGCAACTAGTCAATTCAAGTCAAGGTGATGTGGGATTACCGCCTTTACATCTACCGGCTATTTCTGACGATCACAGTCGTGCTCCCTTTCACCTTCGCACACTGAATCTCGCAGACGTGACACTCCAGTTATTGTCTTCACTAACATCATGTGCACTAACTTCCTCCCTCACCTCGTCCTTACAAACATCACTCGCACTCGCACTCGTTACGTCGTCTCGACTAGTGTCACTCAAACCGACACCTGTATCACCACAACTCTTTCCTCACGGCATATCGTGTTCTCTCCTCCTTGCGCCGAACTCAAGTTCAGCGTCTCTACAAAGCCTGATATTTTGCAGCTGCAAGTTTCGGTGTACATAATCTCCCATACACTGAGACAAGCCAGGTCTGTGCATCTCTCGCATGCTCTGTATGCGATAATGATACTAGCTTCGCAGGATCCTTTACCACTAGCGTCCAGTTTCATTTTCGAATTAGATCGATAGTTCTGGCGTTGAAAAACGCTCCTATCTCTCTTTCAGGTGTAATAGCGGCCTCAGACGTTTCAGAAGTGGTTCAAAATACTGCCTCAGCGACCAACAACCGAAAAGCCATCTTCAATATGATCGACATGTTCTCAGCTTGTCCATGGACCCTTGAAGGCGTTCGACTCCACTGATAGCTAAGGTTGGCCGACGTTCTGGGTACCACTTGCTCAGACTGGAGTTCGTCAGTTTCGATACCTCAATGTCTTTGCCTACCATCCACATGCTATTTTGTGCATAACTCACCCTCACACCAACACATCTATGCGTAGGGTGGTACTGTGGTGGCGTACAAGGAGGAAGCAGGCAGCTGGTGCAACAACGTATGCCACAATGACTTTTCTACAAGCATTACCAGCTTGTCTATTGACCTTGATTTCACAGTGCGAATCACGACTGTCAACTTACATGTGTAGTCCTGTGCGCCTTCCTTGCTCACCGCGGTTTGGACTTTTAAGTGTGTATATTTTTCTCAATAACTTCAGGTTTACTTTCCTCACTAAAGTTTGGCCCACACTATCGGTCGGAATTGTTTTAGAGCAATACACCATTGATAAAATAGAAACGTGATGCACGTCTACCTCTCCTCTAAATTTCGGTACATATGAATCTCATTCTTCAGAACAAATAACGCAAATTTCAGAGTGTTTCATGACGTTCAGGAGGTTACGGAACACGACTCCAGCCCTGGGAAGGTCGATGTTTGGAACTTGCCAACCGGGACCGCGGGACGTAACGCTCCGAATTTTTTGAATCGCGGAGGCTGAGCGCTGATCCTAACGACTACTTAGTTGTACTGCCTTCCTACACGTTTCGGGTTGGTCTACCTAATAATAGGGGGTATCATGATCGAGTGGGGATAATCTGGCTCCATCGCGCTTAAATTATCATGTTTGATAGATTCCTCGACCAGATTGCGCTGTTGCAGACGAGCTAAAGTTGAAAATTGTGGAGTTTGAGTGTCAGGATGTGATCGCCGTTCAAGTTGTACGTTTATCAGTTACAGATATCGTAAGAGCACTGGTACAAGATGCCCAATGAATGGATCGAATCACGGCAGGTTAGTAGTGTTGTGTGAGCAAAAATAATCGATTGAAAAGGCATACAAGCGGATGGTGGATGAGTGAAGTTGCCTCAGGCTTCTGGTCTCACGTTTCATCGTGGCGTTTATAAGTGGATATGATCAATGCATTTTGCTAGTGCATTAGTAGTGATCACCAACATTAATATTCGGATTGTCTGTTCGCCGTGGTTACACTAGTACTACCTGAAGCGGCCTGGACTATGTAAATACACCAATATCTAACGCGAACGAGGTATAATGCATGGAGTAGGCTACTCCATATCGTCTAGTACTTAGCGGTGGTGCTTGGGTGTTGCCCCTGGAGCTTGAAGGCCTTCAGGCCTATATGAGTCATGACTAATATGACTTTTATGGTTACTGCGAAAACTTGATTACATATGATAAACAATGTGCTTTGTACTTGCACCATTTCATTCGGACCAGACACACCGTGGCTCCAGGAGTTCCTGATCTATCAACGGCGCAAGACTGCATCTGGATTCACGCTGATTGGCAGGCGATGCTCAGCGCTCAGCACTTCCCTATTTTGAAAAGAAGTGTCCTGTGGTGATTCACTAGCACTGACTGTCAAGGGAAAACCGTGTGTTCCCAACTGTCTATGATACGAACAACATCAGGAAGCACGCCTTGTTTTTTTTTCCGCTTGTGGGTGCATGTCCTCGAAATCTCGAAGAGCGGACCAAATATTCCACAGGTCTCCCTATCACGGCGGCACTCAATGCATCAAATGATGAGGTCGATGCAACCAGGGGTGCGTCAAAGATACTGCAATACGGAACTACTAAGCATTTGTATTTGGCTGCTGCATACTACCAAGTCCGTTAATCGTATCTCCTAATCTTGACACAGGTGGCTAGGAGTCGCCGATATGCCTCTAGTCCGGAAAGACTCTGCTGACCGGCGACCGGCGATACTCTAGTAGTTCAAACATGCATTATAGTTCGGTGCCTCTTAGCGGCCCGAGTTACTCGAGTAAGCGTTTATGGGCTCGCCACTACGGGGATTTCCTGGATTGCAGAGATGCAAAGCGTGGCCCGGGCCATATGAAGTAAGACACTTTCCTTCAATCAGCTTAGTGCTCAAGTGGCAGCATGAAGGTCTGAGCCCTTGACGACGCCTACCAGAGCTTATGAGATCCTGAAGTGTCGATTTTCCTCACCATATCAGCGAACACGACGCTCATCCTAAGAAGCCGCATGATATCTCTGACAATATCGCGTTCTGTAGTCTGCTGACTTTAAAGATGAACACAGGAGCAGACAGCGCAGATGGAGCAGAGCCGCCGAAGTACAATGATTACAGGCAAACATACCGATATCGAGCAGAGGGGGTACTAGGACGAAGATGGACAGCAGAGGCACTCAGACAGACCGTGACCCCAGAGGTACCTGATCTAATAATGGCATATGACTGATGCTGATTGGCAGGCGATAGTCATCAGCATTTACTTATTTTTAAACGTGCCATGTACTGGGTGGCAGTCCCCCGGCAAGTGGATTGGCTGGTCGTGTCTTACTCAGAACAGCACACAAACCTTGACCAGTTTATTTTGTCCTGTGTTAGTGAATACAATCTGATTACTGCCACTGAGTATCCTTCAGCTATTCCATCCTCGTTACATCCTTTTTGGTGGTTATATCACGTACAGAATTCAATCGATGACCTAATATGTAAAGGTCCTGACAGAAAGTCCAATTTGCAAAAACTGATACTACACTACCCACTAGCACACTCCACGAGTGTTCAGTTACCGAATGTAGAGTGCATGACTTGGTTCACGACCATGTGGAACACCGTCTCGTGAGAGATAGGGTGATGAAATTCCCCGATGGGCCGTTGTCGAAACTCGGTTCATGTACATAGTACGTAACATACCTGATAAACTCATACTAATCCTATGTAAACTCTCCTGGCTAGGAATCCTACCCTACAAAAGCCAGGTGGAGAAGGTGACACTTTAGGTCTCAGCATTCTTGCCCATCTTGATATGTTCTCCCTGTGGAACTGGCAGATTGGGGCAGCCATCCTCGGTCTACTAGGCGTCATTGTCTACTCCTACCGCTCTCGCACATTTCGCTCCCGTGTGTTACCCTTACCCCCTGGTCCGTCAGAGTCTCCTACCGGGCACTAGTATGTCGTGGTCATGCGATGAACCATGTATATCGACTCACGGCAATAGTTCTCCCAGGAAGATTGCTCAGTGGATAGAAGAATATGGACCAGTCATATCTCTCAACGATGGAAAAAATGTACTAGTCATCATCGGACGTCACCAGGTATGATTGCGTTCTGTAGGACATCACTATTTGGGTATTTACATTTGACAGGAAGCAGTTGACCTCATGGAGAAGCAAGGCGCATTCCTCGCAGACCGGCCTCGTTCGGTCGCTGGCGGTGACATCCTTGGAAGAGGAATGCGATTCGTCCAAATTGGCTCTGGCGAGAGGCTCCGCAAATTTCGCAAGTAGGCAACACATTAACTGATTTCAAAAAAGACTGTCTCACCGGCTCGACCACGCAGATCTTCACATGCGCACCTCCAAGTGAGGTCTGCTCAGTCTTACGAGCCGGTACAGGTCGCGCATGCGCGTGAGATTATTCTGGACATACTGCACGAACCGAAATTGCACCAGCAGCATATCAAGCGGTACGTCCGTCCCCATAGTATACTCGCTTCAGCTGCTGACATTCGCGCATAGTTTTGCAGCATCTGTAATTTTGCGTGTCGTATATGGGAAAACAACCCCTACTTTGTTGAATGACCCGTATTTACTACAGCTGCAAAAGATGATCCCAAGAATCCAGAGCGCGATGGTTCCAGGCGCATACCTCGTTGACAAGTACCCCATCCTCAAATATGTCCCTGGTTATGGGCGAAATTTGAAAGAGTGGAGCCGGCAAGAATACAACATGTTATTCGGCCAGCTAAATGAGGTTAAAAGTCAAATGGTACGGACTCTTCTTCCATGGTGTAGTCGTTGCATCGACCTCATCATGAACGACAGGGCAGCTACATCGCCCCTCATTCAGTTGCAAAGGATCTCCTTCTACACGTGGAGGAGAACCAGCTCTCCGAGACGGAGATAGCATACCTCTCTGGGTCCCTCATCGGAGCAGGTTCGGATACGGTAAGCCAAGAAACTGATAGACTCAGATCAGGCGAAACTAACTTACGGAATCTTAGACTGCTGTTGCGATTACAACAGTTTTAATGGCTGCTGCGCGTTTCCCACACGCACAAGCTCGTGTGCATGAGGAGCTAGAAGCCATCATTGACCGAGAGACTAGTATGAAAGCTAAACCACCCTAGTTTGAAACCGACTGACCTTGTGCCGTAGTTCCTACGTTCGAAGACTGGTCGCAGCTTGTTCAGGTTCAAGCCTTCATTCTGGAAGCTCTTCGATGGAGGCCCGTCAATCCGATAGGTGAGCCAACCATGTGCATCCAAGGCCATTTGGTTGATCGGTGTTCCACTGGCAGGCTTACCCCACCGCGCAACGAAAGATATAATCTGGGTATGCTCCACACAATCACAGATTAAATATGAATTCATCATCATTACAGAACGGCATGTGCATTCCTGCTGGTGCTACTGTCTTCGGAAATCATTGGTTGGTGCACGTCTGATTCATCTTACAAATTCTTATTTCGGTTCAGGAGCATCGCACGTGACCCCTCTGTCTACCACGATCCCGAAGTATTCGATCCACAACGATGGATCGGTGCAGACGGAGAAATCAAAGAGAATATGAAGCTGTTCACTTTTGGTTTTGGAAGACGGTAAGTATCGGTTCTTTATATTACTGAGTTTCCGTTGAACATATTGTAGTGCATGCCCAGGGTTGCATGTTGCTAACCGGTGAGTTGACAACGAGGCTTGATAGGTACTTTGTCTCAATACACCTGCCACTTTCAGATCAGTGTACATTGCTGTCGCTCTTATCCTCTGGTCCTTCACACTCGCAGAAGACCCTGGCGATCCCATCGACGACACCGCCTTTACGCCTGGCATAGTATCACACCAGAAACCTTTCGACCTGATCTTCAAGCCTCGCATGGATGAAGCATCATTGAAAAACATCTTCTGTTCGATCGCCGCATAGGAGGTTTCCAGTGCGTGGCTGTCGGAGGCATAGCGATAGATTTCTAGGTCTGTATTGCATACATTGTACTTTCCTCGTATGCGTGTAATAATAGCGTGAACATGACGATGTGGTTCAACCTGCTGAGCATTATTTCGAGTGCAGGAGACTCATGGCGTGGGTGGCTGCAACCACTGATTTGAGTTGGCTAACACTTCCGACTCAAGGCTGACCGCCGTCATCTGATGTCACTCTAGAACTCCTGGAAAGATAAGGGACTCGGATACCGGTTTTTATAGAGACACAACCTAGCAAGACATTTGGTCCCAACACTGGCGGAGCGTGTTGGAAATCCGAAAAGGTCACTGGATTGATCTCTGAAATGGCCGGCCTAGGATAAAGTCTAAGCCAAAATCTAGGGACGACAGGCCCATCGAGACCTTCAAGTGAAGTAGTATGAAGGTTGTTGTGTGGCATCACTGTTTCTCGTGCTTGCTCACTGTCTGCAACAGTGCCAAGGACTTATTTCCATTCATCAGGGAAAACCTCCCGTGCAAACCTAGCTAAGTTTAGATCTAACTTCAATAGTTACCAAAAATTCTTCCTAAATATAGTGTTTAGCAGATTATTAAGACTCTTTTACCCCCCCCCCCCTCTTTAACTTTTTCAAAATTAAACAATATTTTTGCAGATTGTGTGCTAATGTTGTCGAGATTTTGTCGCTTTCAGATTCATTATTGCTTACTAGAACTGACTCATATACTACAAGAAGGAAATTGGTTTTCATTAGAAAGAATGTAAATAGTCAAGAGCAAGTATATAACAATTTCGAGAGAGCATCTTTCTCTTTGACCGCCATCTGGTTGTATTTTTCCCACACTTTTTCAAGCAGGTGAACCCCTTCCATTTGCATGATTAACAATCCTGCACTATCATCTGATGAAATACTGGGTCCTAATGAGACCACCACCACCCACTCCCTCAGGGAGATAATAGAGGCCAACCTCTTTGTAGATGTCGACTCCTTGGCGGTGAACACCGTTATTGTTATGCGGACCGTCGGTCGGCGTGTGCGAACTAGGATAGGTCTTCTCAGCGACGACTCGAGTGAGTCTACTGAAGCTGAGGGTGGTTCTAGCCTTGACGGAACGTCAAGGATTCCTCCGGCGATCTCGGTAAGACGGCGCTCGTCGAGATGCAGGGCTAGCGGATACGTGTGAAGTCGTATGGGGGCGACTTAGAAGTGCGGTCTCACACAAGGAAGCTGGTAAGCTTAGATGAGCAAGTTCTGGGGATGAACCTAGTAGATTAAAGTAAAGTCTAAGTACAATAAATCTGTGTCTACTTATAGGGAAGTACTACAAGTATTCTAGCTCAGTCTGTAATCAATAGTATATCGTAAATCTATGATAACAAGACATGAGGTTCAGATAAGATACATGAGGCTTAACCTCTGATCAAGCATGCTGCGCCAAGGGCAGCTGCGCATAGGTACAGGAAGCGCCAAGCGCGCTCCGGATCTTCATGAAGTGACATGTGGTATACATGCGCTGATCTAGGGTGTCCATGAGGCGTACAGCCTCCATGGAACAGGTACAAGGCCGTCTAGGCCAGGGGCGGGTCATAGTGCCAGGGGCGGGGTCATAGCGCCAGGCGGGGTCATAGCGGTCCAGACCACTGTCTTTCTAGGCGCAGGCGGCGCACCGCCGCGCGGGGAATCTAGCAGAGCGGGGGCAGGCGTAGGGAGAGCTGGGGCTCTAGTAGGTGTTACAGATCCCTGTAACATCCAGTAGGTGTTACAGATGCCTGTAACAGTTATAGCTACTGTTACACACTCAAATAGATCTGTTATGCGGAGCCCTAAGAGGGGCGTCGTCTGCTAACGTTCGTGACATAACCGGAAGGATCCGGTATAGCAAGTGAGACTGGCGACGACGAGTTGGCAGCGATCACAGTACGCGTGTGTCACGTGACTTCTAAGACAGATGTCTTTGAAGTCGCTCAAGGTAAGGACAGTCTTGTCTGAACGATGAGGTTGATCAAGGTAGACTTAGTCACAATGAGCAACTAAGAAAAGATACTAGAGACTGAAGCCAGAGGGGCGTTCAGAGAGAAGTATGTTCCAGGGAAGATTGAGTAGATTCAAGTTAGAGAATCTAGTACAGGGTTGACCGACTACTTATACTAAGTGGAGAGGGTTAAGGGCAAGGCTACCGCACAGTAGGTAAAGGTAAAGGGGAAACGAGAATGGTATAGGTGCGTTGGCAACAGAGCCGGATTAGTGATGGATGGTCGAATGTGGAATGAGACCGAGAAACATTGGAACGGACCAACGGTAAGAATACAATGTGGGGGAATCCGCAGTCAGAAGGAACAGAAAGGGAAAGCCACATTGGTGGCACGAGTCAGACCGAGTCATAGGTGCGGGACCACATTGGTGGTCAAATCAGGGGAGGAACGTGCGTGCATGTGCATAGAGGCGGACAATGCGAGGGACGGGAACGGTCCCGAGGATCCGGTCAACAGAAAGTCGGTAAAGGAGGATGAGCCGGTAGATGGTGAGGGTGAGGATGAGGGGAAAATGATAGGGGGGCCATGTGACCGATGTTACTTGTAACAGCTACGAAAAGTCCTGATGGACTAATTGATTGGATTGAACTCAAGCCCGAGTTTTACTGCTCCATAGTAAAATGCATCCTTCGACTTGCCTCAAAACACACAGCAAAATTCAAGTCTGCTTCTGCAAAAGAAGCCCTATTCCAATTCCTCATTAATCTCCTCAATGGCAGAGCCACTTGCACTGCCTTCTTCCATGAAATGAAGACTGCCACGGCCCCGAAAGGTGCTAACAGGGAGAGTAGATGCAAGGACACAGAGAAGTTGAAAGTTCAAGTTGAAAATAGAAAGAAGTCAGAAGTCAATGTCAATGATGCGGAGGTGAAGAAGATACCACTAGACCAAACCCCAGACTTGAACCCAGCCATTGCAACTGCCAACTCAGGGCCCAGCCCCACAGCCCCAGAAAAGAACCTCTCACCGACTCCCATTAATCGCCCTCCCAACCTGGAGGCGATCTCACAGGTGCAAAACCCTGCAGTTAACCAGGAACTCAAGATGAAGAAAAGCAGATGCTCAGGAATTCAGAATCATCCAGCATGTGAGGAATGCCACACAAGGCTGGCTGCTGGCACCAAGCTTAACCGCTATCCCAAATGCACAGTGCACCGCTTCCGCAGAAATGGTGAGACATACATTGATGGGTACACGGACTACTCTTGCTATTGTGCTGAAGAGTACAAACAGAGATGGAGACCCTTGACAGCATATGAATAAGCTACATACCAATTATACCAACACATCAACACCTTAAGACGGCACTACTGTCCTTGCAACTGCCTGGACCATTGCATAAGTCTGACCACAAACATGATAGATATACATAGCAAGTACTATAGCATATGTAATGTCCATCATAGTGCCCCGCCCCACAGGACAATAAACGAGAAATTTTTTTTTTTGAGAGGTAATACTAAGGAGATTTAGTCCTCATCCATCCTGTGATATGCTCAGAATGACACAAATGAGGACAAGTAGCAACACACTCACATGAAGGAGGTGCGGACTAGTGCAAGTAAGCACAAATGAGTGGCAGTGCGCCAGCATTGGACACAGAGTTTTGAGTGAGGTGCTGGTGAGTGCAGAGAGGGTGTGAAAGAGGTGTGAGAGGGCATAGCTCTATGATAGTTGTCAATAGAAAAAAATAAAAAACTTATGAGCCAGGAAGAGAGTATGTATGAGAGGTCTCACAACAAACACAATGAGTGCAATGAGCATGGACACAGTTGAATGAGAGCATTGACATGCTGCTATTGCTGTATTACATGAGTGGGATCCAGAGTGCATCAAGGAGCTTGAAAGGAAATATCACGCACTTCAAGAGAGCAGGACATGGCCGCAGTACTGTCAGTGTCCACTAAGAAGCCAGTCCAGTTCATGAAGATACCAGCATTAAGATATGATCTGAGTCTGCAGTGCATCTGGAACAAGGCTCAAGGTCAGTGTGTGATGTCTATCTGTAAACATCATCAAAACAAACTTGTAAAAATCAGTAACCATAGCTACACAGCCAATCATCAAATTCGCACATTGAATATTTGATGAAAAATAGTTCAAATGTGTACAATAAAGCCAGATCCTGATGTATAAGTGGTACATCTGGGATAAATAATAAATTTATTTGACAATCATCCCAAATCAAGTGAACATAAAATATCTAGTTCAGGACATTCACCCGACCTTGGAAATACAGTAAATCAGCATATGAAATTAGTATGTTTCTGGGTTGGGAGTAAAGTAATGGCAAGGCAACAACACCAATAAATGCATAGTGAATGAAACAAGATATAGGATTAATATACAAAAGGTGTACAATATATACAATGCAAGTATAGAATCCATAACAGCAGCCTTACTTGTACAGCATGGGATGCAAGATATATAATTTTCATATGACAAGTATAGGGTGTTATAGATGTGGTCTACCACTAGCAGTATCATGCCTCACATTGCAAATTATGAGGAAACATGATCATGAAGTCCAGCTTGTCTTTGAATATACACATCTATTTAAACACATTATGTAGCCATAATACAATATATGGTATCCTATATATCACACCAAGTGTTCTGAAATATTGAATGAGGAAAAATCACAAAGTAGCAACTAAAGGATAGGGATAGAAAAGCGCTATGTGTCTTGAAAATTTGGACCAAATGTAGTCCAGAGTATCATTGTGTGTGGAGACAATGGTAAGCTCTTCTTCAGCATCTCTGATGGTTGTACTGATACCACCCACTCCTCAATAAATTGGCCCTTGAGGGGAATGCTGGGATCCCAGAAAGACCACTTCCCACTTGGGAAGTCAGGATGGGTAGCAGTGAATGCATACCAGAATGCTTTTTTTTTGATTCCATTTCTGTCCTTTGCAGAGTATTACTCTATGTGGGACAATACAATCTAGTCTATTCTATAGGGACCCCCTGTTACGACACACGGTCGTGTGCGACTTGGATGATCTAAACAGCGACAACCACGACAGTGGTACCGAGTGCTGAGAGTCGTCGGCCTTTACAGACAAGCAAAGGTTGCATACTCGAACGTAGCTCATGGTGGTTAACGAGGGGTTACGCTGAGATTATAGCAGAGGTTACAGACAGTGAGAGGCGTCACTGAAGGTACGAGTCGATGTCGAGCCTTTAGCGGGACAAGGAGTTCAAGGGATAACCAAGTAAGATTAAAGTAAGGAATGTCTACTTTAATCTTCGACCTTATATAAGGCTACTCTTCGTATCTAAGCTCAGCCTAAAGCTGGGTTCTAATCTGCTTATCTACATGAGTCAAAGATAGCGTCCATGAGGCGGGCTTCTATCGTAGATAGGATCCATGAGGCATCCTTCTATCAGTACATGAGGCAACACGAGGCTTGCCTTCTATCTTGATAACATAAATAGGTCTTCTAGACCTATGTTGTCATGTGTTGTCATATGCGGTCCAGACCGCTTATCTTCTATCATCATCTATCATCATCTGTCATCATGGAGCTGGTGAGACTCCGGTATCGTCTATAGCCGTGCAGTGGCAGAGGGCTGTTCTGGTGGCAGGGGACTCATGCCATGTTACTGTAACACCCCCAGTGTCCCTTTTTTGTAGTATCGGTGTAAGACCTATGGTCTTTGCGGCCTCGTATAGGCCTTTTTGTGTTGTCCCTCTGGTTCTAATTGCAGTACACGCTACCCTTGGTATAGCGCGCATGTCTTCCATTGTCGGCTGACGGCCGCGGCTCTTGTGCATGCTTCGGCTAGTGTCAGCTTCTCTTCGGATCCGTTGCACGTCCTCCGTCCATCCTATCCATATCCTCTGCTGGTTCATTGGTGCGTATATTACTTGATTCACACTAGACTAACAACAATTCCCAAGCTATTCCATTTATATTTTCATTAAATGTGTCATGGATCCTATTTACATACATCTCGCTACCTACTCAGTTCCGAATATCGCTTATGCGCACATACATATATCGGATACTTAGAAATTTCATGTAACTTCTCTCTCCCATCAGAATTCATCACCCGTTTACACACAAAGCTATAAGCCTTGACTAAAAGTCTAAAATCTTCGGTACTCTCTCGTGCATGCACTTCTATCGGCAGCAATTGTCTTGTGTTCATGTATCTATAAAATCCAATGCTCTCGGTGCTTGTCATCGCTCAGCTCCATCCTCGCGCCTTCAGTACCTCTTCGCAACTCACCTTCGGCTAAACCGTGCGCTTTCGTGTTTTATCACATCGGGGCTACTCGCGCTTGCATTGCATTGCATCTTATTGGTGTTATGCTGACCGTTGGTCGGTGTGTGTGAACTTGGATAGGTCTTCTCAGTGTCGGCTCAAGTGAGCCCACCAACGTTGAGGGTGTTCGGCGACTTGACAGAACATCAAGGGTTCCTCCGGTTATCTCAGTAAGACGGCGCTCGTCGAGATACAGGGCTAGCGGATACGGCTAAGGCGCGGGGAGCGACTTAGAAGTGCAGGGTTTCAGGGAAAACCAAGTGGATTAGACAAGGCTAACTCTAGGAATGACCAAGTAGATTAAAGTAAAGATCTCAGTACAATAATCTGTCTACTTATATGTCTACATATAAGTGTTCAAGCTCAGTCTGTATCTATAGTATATCTGTGGATCTATGTCTATCAAAGATAAGAGTCCATGAGGGCGGTCATGAGCACAGATAAGATACATGAGGCTTAACCTCTGATCAAGCATGCAGTGCCAAGTGCGACTGCGCATATACATGAGGCGCCTGGAGGCGCTCCAGATCTTCATGAAGCGGCATGAGGGATACATGCACTGATCTAGGGTGACCATGAGGCGTACAGCCTCCATGGATCAGGTACAAGGCCGTCTAGGCCAGGGGCGGTGTCACAGTAGTCCAGACCGCTGTCTTTCTAAGTGCTGGCGGCGTGCCGCCGCATTGGGAGTCTAGTAGAGCGGGGGCTGGTGTAGGTGTTATGGATGCCTGTAACAATTGGCGCTTCGTCTACGTGTATATCGCATTGCATTTTCAGCGGCTCGCTCACGCTCGCATCGCGTCAGCTTCAGCTTTCATGTTTCCTTTTAGTCTCAGTCACCCTTATTAGTTTCTACGTTTCCCCTCACACTTTTACTTAGAGGAATCATTCTCAGTAGCAATCCCCTCGGGCCGAATCTATACTCGTGTCCAGAGGTCTATTTGAGTTTTTACCCCACTTCCCTCTTTCTCCCCATTTCACCCTTTCTCATCTAGCTATCATTCCTCGCACACACCAGGTGTGTGAATGCCCTGGTGTGAGGTGTGCCTCCACCAGTCTGCCATTCCCGCCAGCCATTTAGATAAGACTGTTGTACCAATGCGCGAGGATGGGATGCTAACATTTGTCATTTATATATGCATACTCAGTCACCAATGGTGAGCAGGTACAGGAATCAGGGGGTTTGTTTAAGTATAGTACAGATGGTCCTGTATGTGTGCAGTGCAGGCCATCTGACATTTATACTTGTATGCCGCTTGATGGGGATTCCATGTAGGCGAGTGGATGTTGATACATTGTGATACAGTGTGGTGATACAGAATGGTGATGTAGAGTGGATGGCATGATGAAGAAGGTGCATTGGGTGATATCTGTTGTGTCTGTCTGTGCTTGGGTGTTTTCTACAGAGGGGGGGAGGGGAGGGGAGGGGAGAGGCTATGTCAGTCTGGAGGCTTGCAAGGGAGCGGGAGTTCACCAAATGTTTTCTTCAGTCATCCTGTTGCATTCAGAAAGCAGGTAAAATGAGGGGTTGCCTCTGCATTTGACAGTAGGTATGGGAGTGAGGAGGATTTCTGGCCTAGGGCTGTGACAAGGATGTGTCGTTCTCTGTGATAATGTGTGCAGTCCAGAATATAGTGGGCAACTGTCTCATTTACTCCTGGGCAGTGTGGGCAGGATGGTGTGGGGTGTTTGCTGATCCGGTGAAGATGCTGATTGAGAGGGGCATGCTGGGAGTGAAGTGCAAAGTTAACACCTGTCAGGCACTTGGGAAATGCTGTCATCAGTTTGATGAATAAACAATTTAGGATTTCTGGGTCTATCCTGTGAATGTGATTGTGACAAGGTGACTTGTGCCATATCCTTCTCCAGTGTTCGTGCATTGTCCAACAGTGAGCTGCTATACCAGAATGCTTTTTGACCCCAAGTTCATTCAGGCATTGTCAGATCCATGGATTTCACAAGCCATAATTGAACGTTGCCCAAGAGTT